ATATGATGTGAGTGATGTATAATGTGAGTGACGGTATAATGTGAGTGATTGTATTAATTTGAGAGACGGTATGATGTGAGAGACGGTATAATGTGAGTGACGGTATATTGTGAGTGACGGTATAATGTGACTGACGATATAATGTGAGTGATTGTATAAGGTGAGTGATCGTAGAATATTGGTGACGGTATAGTGTGAGTGACGGTAGAATATTAGTGACGGTGTAATGTGAGTGACGGTATAATGTGAGTGATGGTATAAGGTGAGTGATGGTATAATGTGACTGACATTATAACGTGAGAGACTTTATAATTTGAGAGACGGTATGATGTGAGAGACGGTATAATGTGAGTGACGGTATATTGTGAGTGACGGTATAACGTGTGAGTGAGAGACGGTATAATGAGTATAATGTGAGTGACGGTATAATGTGAGTGACGGTATAATGTGATGTGACGGACGGTATAATGTGACTGACGATATAATGTGAGTGATGATGGTATAAGGTGAGTGATCGTAGAATATTGGTGACGGTATAGTGTGAGTGACGGTAGAATATTAGTGACGGTGTAATGTGAGTGACGGTATAATGTGAGTGATGGTATAAGGTGAGTGATCGTATAATATTGGTGACGGTATAATGTGAGTGACGGTATAAGAATATGTGAGTGACGGTAATAATTGAGAGACGGTATAATGTTAGTGACGATATAATGTCAGCGACGGTAAAATGTGAGTGACGGTATAATGTGAGTGACGGTATAATGTGAGTGACGATATAATGGGAGTGACGGTATAATGTGAGTGACGCTATAATGTAAGTGACGGTATAATGTGAGGATTGATATGATGTGAGTGACGGTATAATGTGACTGACGGTATAATATAAGTGACGGTATAATGTGAGTGATGGTATAATGTAAATGACGTTATAATGTGAGTGATAGTATAATGTGAGTGACGGTATAATATGAGTGATGGTATAAGTTGAGTGATCTTAGAATGTTGGTGACGATATAATGTGAGTGACGGTATAATGTGAGTGATGATATGATGTGAGTGACGGTATAATGTGAGTGACAGTATAATGTAAGTGACGGTATAATATGAGTGATGGTATAATGTGAGTGACGTTATAATATGAGTGATGGTATAAGGTGAGTGAGTGATGGTATAATGACTTATAATGTTGGTGACGGTATAATGTGGGTGACGGTATAATGTGAGTAACGATATAATGTTGGTGACGGTATGTGAGTGACGGTATAATGTGAGTGACGGTATAATGTAAGTGACGGTATAATGTGAGTGATGGTATAATTTGAGTGACCTTATAATGTGAGTGATAGTATAAGGAGAGTGATTTTAGAATGCTGGTGACGGTATAATGTGAGTGATGTTATAATGTGAGTGATAGTATAATGTGAGTGACGGTATAATGTGACTGACGGTATAATGTAAGTGACGGTATAATGTGAGTGATGGTATAATATGAGTGACCTTATAATGTGAGTGATAGTATAAGGTAAGTGATCTTAGAATGTTGGTGACGGTATAATGTGAGTGATGTTATAATGTGAGTGATAGTATAATGTGAGTGACGGTATAATGTGACTGACGGTATAATGTAAGTGACGGTATAATGTGAGTGATGGTATAATATGAGTGACCTTATAATGTGAGTGATAGTATAATGTGAGTGATGGTGACGGTATATGGTGATTGACGGTATAATATGAGTAACGGCATGATGTGAGTGACGGTATAATGTGAGTGACGATATAATGTAAGCGATGGTATAATGTGAATGACGGTATAATGTGAGTGACGTTATAATGTGAGAGACGGTATAATGTGAGAGACGGTATAATGTGAGTGACGGTATAGTGTGAGTGACGGTATAATGTGAGTGACAGTATAATGTAAGTGACGGTATAATATGAGTGATGGTATAATGTGAGTGACGTTATAATATGAGTGATGGTATAAGGTGAGTGATCTTAGAATGTTGGTGACGGTATAATGTGAGTGACGGTATAATGTGAGTGATGATATGATGTGAGTGACGGTATAATGTGAGTGACAGTATAATGTAAGTGACGGTATAATGTGACTGACGGTATAATGTAAGTGACGGTATAATGTGAGTGATGGTATAATTTGAGTGACCTTATAATGTGAGTGATAGTATAAGGAGAGTGATTTTAGAATGCTGGTGACGGTATAATGTGAGTGATGTTATAATGTGAGTGATAGTATAATGTGAGTGACGGTATAATGTGACTGACGGTATAATGTAAGTGACGGTATAATGTGAGTGATGGTATAATATGAGTGACCTTATAATGTGAGTGATAGTATAAGGTAAGTGATCTTAGAATGTGAGTGACGGTATAATGTGAGTGATGATATGATGTGAGTGACGGTATAATGTGAGTGACAGTATAATGTAAGTGACGGTATAATGTGAGTGATGGTATAATGTGAGTGACGTTATAATGTGAGTGATAGTATAAGGTGAGTGATCTTAAAATGTTGGTGACGGTATAATGTGAGTGACGGTAGAATGTGAGTGACGGTATAATGTGAGCGATGGTATAATGTGAGTGATGATAAGATGTGAGTGACGGTATAATGTGACTGACGGTATAATGTAAGTGACGGTATAATGTGAGTGATGGTATAATGTGAATGACCTTATAATGTGAGTGATAGTATAAGGAGAGTGATATTAGAATGTTGGTGACGGTATAATGTGAGTGACGGTAGAATGTGAATGACGGTATAATGTGAGTGATGGTATAAGATGAGTGATCTTAAAATGTTGGTGACGGTATAATGAGAGTGATGTTATAATGTGAGTGATAGTAAATGCGAGTGACGGTATAATGTGAGTGACGGTAGAATATTGGTGACGGTATAATGTGAGTGACGGTATATTTTGAGTGACGGTATTATGTGTGTGATAGTATAATGTGGGTGACGGTATAATGTGAGTAACGATATAATGTTGGTGACGGTATGTGAGTGACGGTATAATGTGAGTGACGGTATAATGTGACTGACGGTATAATGTAAGTGACGGTATAATGTGAGTGATGGTATAATGTGAGTTACGTTATAATGTGAGTGATAGTATAAGGTGAGTGATCTTAGAATGGTGGTGACGGTATAATGTGAGTGACAGTAGAATGTGAGTGACGGTATAATGTGAGTGATGGTATAAGGTGAGTGATCTTAGAATGTTGGTGACGGTATAATGTGAGTGACGGTATAATATGAGTGACGGTATATTGTGAGTGACGTTATAACGTGAGTGACGGTATAATTGAGAGACGATATAATGTTGGTGACTGTATAATGTGAGTGACTGTATAATGTGGGTTACGGTATAATGTGAGTGACGGTAGAATGTGAGTGACGGTATAATATGAGTGACGATATAATGTGACTGAGAAGGTAAGATAGTGTTCTGCCCCTCAGGATATATTAGACACAAAATGTTAAGGATCATAAACATATCTGATTTTTTCAACTGTTAACATATATTGCTTGACAATCCTTGACCACTGTTTTATTACCATTGTATGCACAATAACTTTTCGGTAACGATTTGCCCATACAACCTACATATTTAACATATGGTAAAACCAATCTGTGATTCTTATGAAAGTCTGTGTTGACATCAAATCAATCAAGAGATTCTGTGGGGTTTTGTTTGAATTTCCTGTCAACTTGCATCCTGTTTAAACATTTGTTAGCATGAGACGTCACATGGCAGCTGCAGAGACTGGCCGATAAGTCGAGATAGTACAAGTGAAACAGACAATGGCCGAGCAGTCGAGATGCTACAAGCGAAACAGACACTGATTGAGCACTCTTAATCCTGTAAGCACAACAAGCATTGTGGCTGCACAACCCAATGTGTCGCAGAGTGCCATTTCTCGATTATAAAATAGATTCCAGACGACAGAAAACGTCACTGAGAGACCTCGACCGGCTCTTACTTGGCGAATTGCAAGTTGAATAAAGACTTCCATCAAGCAACTTGAAGAGACGTTGGTGCACAAACAGTATAGAAAAGACTTTGCAGCTCTGGATCATATGTCTTCGACTTACACGGCGTAACCGTATAGTTCACCAGCATTGGGCAGCTGACCATGTAAATTAGCGACTGCGTCAGTGGCGACCTGTTCTTTTCAAGGATGAGTCAGAATATTGTGTTGACTTTCATGATGGCGAGAGGCGTGTTTGGATGTTTGGATGTGATATACCGACTGCTGCGTCACTGAGCATGACCGTTTTGATGGGGGTTCGATAATGGTTTTGGCAGGGATTAGTCTTAACTTGTACGTGATTGAAGGTTGTAGCCTCACAGGTTCACGGTACCAGGATTGAATTCTTCATTCACTTGTAACCAACTTTACGGGTGCCGTCGGCTTTACTGATGGACGACAATGCACGACCTCATAAAGCTAGACTTATAAACGAGTACCTCCAAGCAGCATCTATCGAACGTATGGACTCTTTCACCCGACATTAACCCGATCGCGCATGCGTGTGTCATGTTACTGCAGCGCATTGCCGATCATCCACGGTTTCCTGTCAACCGAAAAGAGCTTGCTGACTCTCTTCTTCAAGACAACGAATTCCTTATATGTCTATACGGTGCCTGATTCGCAGCATTCCAAGCCGATGTCGTGCCGTTATTGGAACCAATTCAGGACAAAAACACTATTGAAGCATTTCGAATTTTCAGCGCCATTAGGACTTCAACTTTGTTTTGGAGGGTTATAAACTTGTTATGTAATCATATACGACACCCTTGAATGAAATTAGTCAAAGTATGTCAAAATCTTAATCTTTTATCTTATATTCTTTTGCCTTTTGATACAAATAAATTTATCTCTAAAAAATGATCCCCAACTTTTTGTGCCAATTATCTACAACATTGGCTTTCTTCGGGAATCTAGTCGTTATGACAATGATACAAATTAAAGCTTTCAGTAAATTGTTTAACCTGACTTTACTGTACGTTGTATTGAAACAATCTTATTCATCCACAGGTGTCGCTGCTGGAGCTCTATATACTGATACAGGCGGGGCTGTGGAGTATGTCTGTATGCCAAATAACCCTGTTCATGAATTTACAGATTACGTTGACAACGACGCACATATGTATGGTGGCTTATACGAGTCAAAAGTATTCAGCGCCACTACCACTGGGGATCGGGCGCCATGCGCCGTTTGTTATGCTACCACTCGAGCATCCAAACTAATGCTGTATGGAAGTAACGTATGTCCTGCCGGTTGGACCAAGGAATACCATGGAATTCTATCATCTGGCTACCGCAACCACAAAGCCGGGACTCAGTATATATGTCTAGACGCTGCTGCCGAGTCCCTAGCTCCGTTTAGTAGTAACGCTGTTGGTAAACTGCTGTACCGAGTTCGCGGGAAGTGCAGTTCTCTCCCTTGTCCACCGTATTTAGATGGCAGGCTATTGTCGTGTGTTGTGTGCACCAAATAAACCCGTTCGTTGATGAAACCTATCCTGAAAAGTGTGTAGACCTGCCAGCCTGACATGTAAACCATTAACACATATATAACGATTCACTATAATGCAGCAAGGGGCAATTTTAAGCATTTTTGGCTTCTGAGTGGAACACTCCGACTCATGATAATATTCTGTATACTTGATATTTAATAAGCTGTACAAATTTAAGATCTCGTCATGACCCGAAAAAAAAGAACAAAAGCAAGTTTTGATTGCATAAAGATTGGTTGCAGTTTATAAGATATTTAATACCCAATTCATCTCGTTTATTGTTCCCTCAGCTAAACCTTTCCGTATGAGAAGTTTTTAAACATAGAACTTGGTTAATATTGACATTCTTTATTCATTGCTCGATAAGTGTCACAGAATATTTTAACTTTTCTTTTCGATTCAAAATTATACTAAAATAAATCTTTACCACATTCGATGAATTTTATTTACTTTCAAACAATAAGAGACTGGGTACTGTTTTAAGTCTATGCGCTTCATATGAGTACATTTATAGATTTAGATTCTTAAAAAAAACTGTTCGTAACTACCAGTTCACTCCATTATTGATATACTCGTCTCATGGGACTATTTCTTTTCTGATTTTGGTGTGGACAACTTGAAGCATTATCAGCTTGCGTGCGCTGTATTTATCACCCAGCGCAACAACGGTACCTCTGTCATGACTCATTGTGACGTAAAACACGTCGATACCGGTTGGGAATGCGCAGATCTCAGTTTCGTCTTCAAGTCGCCAAAGTCTAATTGATCCATCACGGGAACCAGATACTACGATCTCGCCGTCTTGCGAGATCGCCGTGCACCAAACCTTGAAATAGGAAATGAGTAACAGGTAAAGCTAGGTCTTATGAAAGAATTTTACCTAATCTTTCTTGTTAAAGTTTATTTTCACAGTTTGAACATGCGCTTTCTCCTATCGTTTCACTGACTACAATATACAAATTACGTCTCCCTTATTAAAATTACACCACGCCGTTATTGATAACTTCAAAGCACCACATTAATCCATTAATCTGGCTATCCCTATATTGCGTTCTAATTTATTCAGTTCAGCGCCGTTCTAAAACTTTTTGGTCAACTCATAGCCTATGGTATGGAATGCAATTACAATGTTTTCTCTATTTTGGGGATAGTGTGCCTCCCTGACATTTCTATCGATCACCCTCGTTTAACATCAATATGATGCAGTTAAATCTATTGTTTGCCCTTTCGGCATCATCTTAATTTTTTTATGAAATGGTACTCTTTCCTTGTGTGTCTTTTGTACAATAATCTTACTCTTTCAAAAGAAGATTTGTCGTTTTAAAGAAAAATAATAGTAATAATAGTAACTTCTTACCTCGTCTAAATGTCCTGTAAGGGTTCTAGAGAGTTGTTCTCTGTCCATATCCCAAACCTTTAGTGTCTTATCTGCTGACGCTGAAACCAAAAACTTCTGATCCTGTGACAGTGCTAACGCCGTTACAGCATTTGCATGGCCATGTGATTCCGAACCATCCAAAAGGTTACGACGTTTTTGTCCTGTCCGCAAACTCCAAACTCTCAGACTACCATCTCTCAGACCAGTCACTGCCTCATCACGTGGTAACAAAACGGTACAATCTGAGAACGCATCAAGTTTAAGGATGTTGGGGTTTTTAATCAAGCCAGTTGCCGTTGACGTGTCAAATGTAAGAAATTCGATCTGATTGTCGAAGGAGTTTGTGAAGCCAGCTACACAATACTTGTCTTGACTGGACAGCGACAGGAAGTTAATGTAGTCGTTGTTGCCCACTGGGGCGTCATGTCTAAACTGTTTCTGTATCTGATTTCCCATTAGGTCCCATATGGTGATATTGGTACCGTTTCCAAATTTGTCAGATTTGGCAAAAACAACAGATTCTTTGTCATCAGTCAAGCAGATGGCTGAACAAGTATCTGACGGACCCATTTCCAACGGTCTTCCCGTGACAAAGTTCCATACCTGTCATGGACCATTAATGTTTAATACATGTATAAGTCCTATTCATTCTTATACTTAACCTTACAAATTTATCTAGCCCTCTTATTTTGCCTTTCATCAGTAACACGGTATCTAGACTCTCCTTTCCCTAACCTACATTTTTCACATTTATTCAATTTGAATTTTCCTCAGTCGCCTTCAAGGTTTCAACACTTGGCATCACGGACGATTCCTAAAATGGCGAAACATCTGTACGATGCAATTTTACTCATAATTTAGCTATATTATATCTACTATTGTAATTGTAAATTTGTAGTGAATGCTACTCAGTTGGTATCTTTTGTACAATAGATATGTTTATACTCCTTCCTTTTTGTATAAAAGGTTTTTCCCAAACCAAAATACTTCTAATAATTAACAATCGAACAAGTGGCCTTATTGGCAATATGATATTCAAACAATTAGAGGATTCAGTCATTATATGTAATATCAATTTGAAGCAAAAATTGAAACACTGAAATTCAAGATGAACGAACCTTAATTATTGAAGAAAAGATTGGCCTCATTCAAGACGTTACAGGTCTAATTTGTTTGAAATCCATTTCGATAATAATGAAGAGTGCTATTTTTAAACAAAACTTTATTTACGTTTCTATTTGGACCCCTTCCCTTTACAAGACGAAACAGCTGTATGATGTAGTTTAATTCATTGTACAGAATATAAATCTGATTTTTTTATTTAAAGGCGCTACTCACTTGTATGTCTGTTATACAATCTTCCATTTATCTATGAAATAATTAGTTCCCACAATGATATTTCACATCAACATCGGTTGAATTCCCTTTGAAAATCCACTTGGATGTTAATAAGTAGCCTTTCAAACACATTTTACCTACATTCTATCTTAAATTCACATTGAAAAATACCTGCATCTCCCTAACTTTATGTCCACGAGGGTCGGATCAACTTCATATAATGAAAATTCAGATCAAATTTGGTTGAATCTGCATAGGTCTATAGAAAAAGTAGCATTTTAAAAGATTCATTTCGGATGGCGGATGGTGCATGACAACATATAAAAAACGAGCGCAAAGGTCATCCAGAACCTACGGTAAATATGACATTCTTCTTTCAAATCTTTAACATTTTAAGTTCAAGGATAACATCATCTCCCCAATGTGTGATTACCTCAGTGATAGTTACCTGTAACTTTTTGTGGGTAACACCTTTCCCGATAGAAAAAGCATTAACATCAAGGTCAGCTTGCACGGTTCCGACGAGGAGACTGTCATAACAGGCCAAATGGAGGTTGGACGATCCCATGGTATCACCCTTCATTATTTTCAACAGTTCTCCTGTCTGGCATTCAAATATACGTATTGTGTTCTCGATGTCGATTAAACTTGCATAACTACAGGAATCTCAATATTTGACACAAGAAAACTGGACCATTACAACTTACGTAAAATATCTTTGATGGCATGATTCTGCTATTCAGTTATTCGAGATATCAACACAAAGCCTTAAAGGGGTGTGGTATTTGCTAACCTGCTAATGTATAATTACTGCACGTCTTGAAATAATGCATAAAAAAGGAAATAGATCTAAGGTTCATTTAGGGTTGATAAAAAAATTAATGTCTGCATGGGAGTTTTGCCTTCATCACTGTTGATATCGTCTCTTATAAGTTATATATATAAATATATATGTACATAATACCCTAGTACTATTATTGTGAGAGTTACCTCCCTTATATGAACGGTACACAAACGTACAAAAACGCACAAAATTTAATAAAGAGAACTAAAACTTTCATTACAAATAATCAAGATGTATTCATATATATACAAAAAATATTTGTTACCATCGTTTCTCCACTTGTTTGATAGCTATTTCTCCAGTGAGTAATGTTTCCAGTTTTCGGACCACCAAAATACAAATACATGTACTATTTTGTAACATCAACTTTTGACCAATTTTGTTTCGATTTGTCAGCATCAGTAATCATTCGATTTGACCTGCAAATTGTTTGATCAGGAATTTTCATCTGGCAAATCAACAAGTTTGGTGGCTAATTGCATATTATTGATAAATTCTACATGTAGTTTATCTTTGTATCAATTGTAGGTGTAAATGCATAATTATTTCCGTTCAAAAATGTATTACATGTAGAATCAGTATCGCGATCTGGCGTCCTATAAGTATAGATTTCGGCACATCAACTACTTGCAGGCACATCAACTACTTCTAGTTGATGTGCCGAAACTACGTCATACCTTTGAGGTATGACGTAGAAGGAATGCCATACCTGCATGTTCCAGACCTGAGGCGGACCAGAGGTGGATCCCGTCACAACACTTGAACCATCGCCAGTTACGAAGCAGCAGTCAACTCGCACTTCCTCCCCTGCTGCCCCGGGGGTAACAGTTAGAGGCGAGTAAGACAATTGTCCATTTTTACCTCCAGTCCCTCCCTACGCGGTGTTAGAGTTAATATACAGGGTCATAAATTTTAACATTATTTTGAAATAAGTTAAATGTACAGTGTCCGACGACAGTTGAAATATAACGTTCAAACTATAAACAGATCACTTCTGACTTCGAATGAATGTCTGTCGAATACTAATTTACACATTACTTTATATAACGATGAAGGAAATGACATAACTTATCTTATATCGCTGCATTCTAAATTTGAAAATCTGTGCATTGATTTACCTGTCATGTAAAAATTGTGAATATTGATTTTTTTTTTTTTTAGTTAAGTTTACCTGGAATGTGTAGGATGAATTAAAACCTTCCTGTATCAATGTTTTACTGCTCGTGTAGTTAGAACATGTCTCGTTATATCCCATCGGAAAATCGTAATCCGCATTTGCCGAATCTCCATGACCTTCAGCACTGTTAAGCACGAATGTCCCACCACTGTCACCAGTTGAAGTTGAGGTGATGTTTGTTGCTGAAGCGGAGTGAGAATATGAGGAAGATCCTGCTGCATCTACCAAAGACGTCGATGACTTCATCGTTCCTGAATCTATAAGACATGTTGTAGATCTCATCGTGCTGGTATCCCAAGTAGACTCTTCATTGAAGTTAGAAGCTTCTTTGAAGCCGTCATTTACGAGTGTTACACCGGATGTTGAAGAGTAGAACACTTTGGAACTCTTCACACTAGACTTCCCCAACGACTGGTTTACCGTGCTACTGTAAGACGACTGTCCACCTGACGCTGAAGAATCAGAATTACCAGTGGTTGAATAATATGCACATGATGAACCCCCACCGTTCAGATTTGCACCGCTGTTTACAATGGTTACCTTTGCACCATCACCAGAAGAAGCATAAGCATCTGTTTCATCGCATCCACTTATTGACTTTGCCATGGAGAGACTCGATACCTGTACTTGAGAGGTACCACCTGTTGATACGCCTCCGGAAATGGCATCACTGGTAACTTTTGCACTTGATATAATACCACTTGCTCCGGTACCTACACCACTTCCACCACCCGCTGCATTTCCCATGTCGAATCCTATCTTAGCTAGATCAAAATATCCACCCTTTCCACAACAAGGTAAAACTCCAGGCTTGCATAGCCATACAGCCCAAAGCATACTTGCCGCAAATGCCAGTGTCCCTAGTATAGAGCCAATTAGGGCACCTGCCCTTGGTCCAGGTTTGCTTACACCTATCGGAACAGACAAGGGCTCACCTCTTTGATAATGCGCAACAACTGGTAGTAAAGATTCCGGAAGCAGTGCTCCCCCTCCGTCTGTACCTGAATGTACACCGTTTCCAATGTTAATTTCCTTACTCCCCCTAGCTGCCTTTCCAACCACACCACCACCTCCGATTTCAGGGGAGATATGTATATATCCATAGTAACTGCCACAAGGATGATAGGTATGTAGTATTAAGTAAGTGTTTTATGATTAAAATGCTTTTGTCTTTAAAACATTAATCAAGGATTGACATTCTATTGCAATTAATATATATATATATATATATATATGTCTGTGAATATACTTAAATGTCAAAAAATCATTTTGTTTTTACATCCAATGTCATAACAACTAGCGCGTATGATTGCTATGCAAGAACATAACATCAGTTAATTTAGTAGTACAATTTCACAAAGATTCCAGGTACTAAAGCATTACTTATACTGATGTTGAGAGTTTACAGTTTTAGATACGGTTCTTGGCTGCACCGAAACTTATTGCAATGTACTTCAGGTTTATCTGTACGTAAAGGTTGGTTCTTACCCTGGTGATACGAGTTCGTAATGGTGATCCTGAACGAAACTTGTATCTCCTGTAACTGTAAATCCTGCAGTATCGTTCGTGGCAAGGTATTGATCAATCAGTCCTCTTCGATTATAATAAAAACCTGTAGAATATTATGATTTTTTCCCTTTTTTAAGTGTCTCGAGGATCATAAGAGTAAGCCATATGTTAAGCATTTGGCAAGTTTTCAAAATATTTTACGTTAAATGTTGTAACTACAGTAAAATGGAAAGAGGAAGAGTTAAGAATACATAAATTCTTACAAGATTTACATAAGGTTATGAGCTACCGCCTAGCCTAAACGTCCGACAATAGAAATACTTTCATCGAGTGCAACAGAACAATCGCTATTCTAAATTATTAAATTGGTTCCACTGAATGATCTGTATACATGCATGGCATGAAAACAATTACCGACAACATGTTACACCTAATCTGATACAAAGAAAAATCAGGCATGCCAAAACGAATATTAATGTTGTAAATGTAGCCTTATAAAAGATAATTGCCACTGAGAGCGCCATAAGCGCAAAAATCTTGATGAGAAATTTGTGATACCTGAAGAAAATTGATGCGAACATATATGTGGTATCCTGTCTATAGTTTTATCAAATTCATTACTTCAGTTCTAAGCCAATTTGAAAATATATCATATGAAACAATCTTGAATATTTACCCTGACCTGAGAAGTATTTTTTCTGTATTCTGTGGGATATTTATATAATATGGGCATGACTTTTATGTATTACCTCCCAGAAATCCGTAGAAGGCGTCCTTGATTCCTCCGTCTGATGAAGGCCTACCACCCAAAAACACGTACTTGAGCTGGTCGAAAGATGACTGTGATCCTATAGAATGAAACGTACTGACGGTAAGCAGGACGATAAGATACCGAGAACAAAACATTGTCCAATGAATCGTTATGTGTTTCAAGATATTGGATAGTTTGAGAACGTTCGACTGGCATGGATATATGTCAAACGTATTGCAATTGGATGGATTTTCTTTCCACAAGCAGAGAAACATAACCTGCGAACGTTTCAATTAAAAAGGTACATAAACCAAAGTAGTAAAGCTGAGATGGAAAGATTGAAGGATCTTATCTCATAATTAATTAATGTAATTAATTAATGTAATTAATATCGTGTAATTAATGGTCAAAACTTTCTCATGACATCTTCTGATTATAAAATCATTGTTCACTCCTCAGAAGACTATATGGATCATCAAATAGCATAAGACATAAACTATCTCACATTATCTACAGTGCTATATGAAAACGTTTCGACTGAATAACACACTTGATTGAATATTATTTTAGATTTTCAAAACGCAAATAACCGCAAATAACATTTCACCGTCAATCGTGTTGATAGCCCCGTCAACCTTAAGTCGGGCTCCCAGTTCATCCCTGTAGAAGTGTACCACATGATATTTTCCGTCGTTGAACCTCTTGTTAGCCAAAGTCAAAGTTTTCACTCCAGTGCCAGTGTTGAAATCAGCCACTAAGCTACCACCAGCCTGTAATATTAATACATCATTGTTTTATCATATGTTGATAAATTTTGATAGTTATACAAGACTAAATTTCTTTGCTCCACAAAATTTTGAATTTATCACTGACAGAAAAAAAATAATTAAAATAATATTTCGTTTATTACATATCGATATTAGCGATATGAAAATAGGTACATATCAGTTTATATTCCATTCAATTCTTTCAAAAACTTATTAAAATCTTATTTCACCCTTGTTGTGAAATCTCAAAATGCATTTGAAATTTGTCCATATCCTATAAACTCACCAAACGTATGACTATATATTCCGTTCCGGACAAATTTTCCAGTCTCACCAGGGTGCCATCTGCTCTTTTTGTCATGAAACCGAAAACAAGGGAATCTTGCTGCGAAGTCAAACTTTGTTTTAATGTGTAAGTTATCACACCTGGCTGTTCATGCTTACCAAGGTAAATCCCTATGGGATCTGTAAAACACAGCAGTCAGAATAGAGGTTTTGAAAATCGATTTTCTGTGTTGATTAGATACATTTGTGTCAGTAAATAGAGTGTTTAAGGCGAAATCCCAGTCAGTATATTTAATAACATATTAATATCCTGAAAGATGACCAATCTCATTGTTTTTAACGGCCGTATGTTGTATTACTTGATATTGAGAATATATTGATGCTATTTAGGTGGTTCTGCACTTGCTCGAGTTTCTTTATTTCTTTGCTTTTTTTTTTTTTTTTACTAAATATCTCCAACAACGTCAAACAATTTTCCACTTTATTTTTCTGTTAAGCTAGTACGCAAATAACAAAATAGGTGCAAAATGTGAACAAAAGAAAAATTTACACGGAGACTTCACAAAAAAGACCAAGGAGGAGTCAATCTAAGACTTAATCGCACGTTCACAAATGAGGACAAGGTACACATAAACTAAACCAACAGGAAAACGAACGAGCATCCAACACATTCAGCTTCATATCGAAATAGATTCTTTCTCAACGAGATCAATAAGACGACCATAAAACTTTCCTATATTTTTTATCAACCTGCATCTTTCGAAACCCTGTGTTACGAGTTTGATCTTCAGGCAGGTGACAACTTGAACGAAAATCGCGATAATGAGAACAAGCCATTGGATATTGAATCCACTGTGATATGTGAATACCACAGGTAGGGGATGTAGGACTGTTGCTATCCAGACATGGAAAAATTACAACAGGGAAATAGAAATCATCACGCTTTTCATATAGCTTAATGGAAAATTGTCAATACATCAGAGGAAATGAGTTCTTTTCAGTTTACAAGACTTGTTATATTAAACGAACTATTTTATAATAGTCTTATGTCTAAAACATCATTGCAAAATATGCATACATATACAATACCATTTACACAATTTCATGTTAGTTGATACTAAGGGTAGACTATATCGACTGATTGATTTTTTAATTATGGAGCTAGTGCGTATATGTTGACATCGGTTTCGACCATTCGGTTGCTTGGTGCTGCTCGGCGGCCGAACAGACTGTTGAATGTGGGATATGGCGAGTTGTTCTGGATAAAAAATAACATTATCATTTATGGAGAAGATAACATTAAATTAACATTTGACTTACGAAGACCACAGTGTGGACCTGAATACCCTGTTTCCTCACAGTCACAGTGGTAGCGGGTCACACCTATACTGCATGTGCCGCCATGCTGACAGGGATCCACTGGCGGACAGTAACCCGTGATGTCTGCCGATTGACAAATATAAGTAAGGCATAAGTAAAATTAAATCACCTTGCATAATTAAAATGATAATAAAGAGTGTCGTGTTTTGAAATGAAAGAAAAACAAAAAATGACAAAAAGTTCGATATTATGAGAAGCATAATAGTATTAAAATGCATTTTCATCGTTTATCGACAATAAAATATGTTTTACTCGAAATTCCGATGAGAAGTTCAGAACGTTCATTGTTTAAAAAATACATATTCTATTCACAGCAGCACAGAATTTTGTCAATAAAATTTCGAATCTTGAGACTTGGGCTCGAATTAGATACATGTACAAATACAGCTTTGTTAATTTAGTTTTCGTTTTTTCATACATGAATTGCTTAACACAAACATAAACTCGTTTGTTGAATACATTGATTCCCTGCATGATTTTCATCTACCTTTGCAACTTCTGAGGACAACATTATTGTCCATTGTGTATCTGGCGATATTGGGTTTCCCATTGTTGAGGTAAATTGATGCCACGCAGCCTATATAACCACTGTCAGAACGCAGTGTTTTCTTGACGATAGAATTTGTGACGAACATGTTCCGTGGAAGCCCACCTAGAAAGAGGGGGCGAGTTGGTTCCATCTCAGCAAGTATGGGGATCGAATGCTTGGTAAGAACATAAAAAAATATCAAATACATTAAATTATAAAAAGGCATATCTTGACGAAAACTTACATCAGGCAGTTTAACTGACATTGATTTGCATCCATTCAATTGTTATGCCTTAGCTGAACGCTCTCCATAATTGTGGTGTTTACCTTATAATACGATATCAATAGATCGTAAACCGCGTAATTAAAAATCATGATTATTACGATAGTCTTACCACAATTTTGTCTACCCGGGCCTGATAAAACCGTTGATTGTTCCTTGCTGTTTCCATGATCTCCACGCTGTGCCATTTGTTATCGTTTACTGAACTCTTAAGACCGATAACCGTGTCATTACCTCCGGTATTGCAAGCAAATACAGCAATTCCGTGAACAAGTTCAAGGGCAATGAATTCTCCGTTTCGGCCTTCGTTAAAAAGAAGAAGACCATTGTCCTGGCCGGTTCTGAATTTTAATTTTATATGGAGAGCTGTCGAGACCGGAAGTGTGCCCAGTTCAAGATAGGTTGCCTTGGATGATAACGTCATAGAGTCATATATGAGAGGGTCATACGCGTCTGTAGGGGTGGTATTATACCATGTGACTCCAACATTAGGAACGCTGTGAAGTTTACCAATGATGTCAATATCATCGAAATAAACATTCTGCATGTAGCCAATAAAAGGAGGCAATTGGTCATCAATATTTATCTCTGTTCTACTTCCGGAGCCGCTCCCAAATATGATTCCGCTGATGTCGATGTACAAATCTTCCCCCCTGAGAGTACCTTTTAAACAATAATTATCGTAAATTAGAATCATGCATATTTAACATACTATGTATTTTCTATCAAATGATGAGTTATTAATTCCTGTTGCCAATTCGGGAAACATTTCATTTTTATTTCACGTATTTTTTTTTCTTTTCTTCTATGTACATGTATATAGGGTACCGTATTTGCATTAAACTTTCGAACAGTATACAATCAAGGGAGGTAAGTATTCGTCATTTTGGTTTTGGTTCTTGGGTTCACGATATTTTAAGATAGCGGATAATGCTAAAGCCGTTATATGGGACAAACTATAGGAACCGTGTAACACTTCCCTGATTCAGAATATTTTTCAATATATTAAGACCTGAAATACAACAGGATATTGACAGTAAATACAATTAAGGAAAGTTGGTAGAAAGACTGATAGGAGGAATTTGCATGAAGAAGGAAATGGAAGATTTGTCGTTAGGAAGCAGATAATGGAAAAAACAGAAAAAAAAGTAATTTGTTTCAAAGATGGAAATATACACAGAATCTACGTACAGTCTTTGAAGTTTCTCGGTGTAACAAATACGAAACACATTAAATGCGCCTAAAAAGCAGTATTTTTAGCATTTGTTTATATAATCAAACGTGCAAGCGTGACTTACCTGATACGTGCGGTCGCTGATCCACCCAAATCTCTAGTCGCTCGTCACGTCGCTGTACGTATAGGCTATGCCATGTGTTATCATTCAGGTGCGATCCGGTGGAATGAGTCTGTGATGATATGCATCTTAGATATAATATTCTTAGAATCATGGCGAATATGCCTCTAGTTTACATGAATTACAAGCCATCTATATTTATCTTACCATTCAACAAAGACAACGACAGGTCATATCTTAATTTGTATTTGGCAATTTTTATCCGATAATTGAAAATACCATTTTAGTTGAATTGTTAAGATTGTTATTAATTGTTACAATGAAATATGACGTCATGCTTTCATATCGTGTCGTAATGAATTAATCACTTACGTCAGTGATTCCGTCTTTGTATACTGTAATTTTAATACTGCCATCCACCAACTCTCCTTTGATGTAATCATCACTAGAGTTTGAGTATGTCTTGAAGAGAATCGCTCTTGGGAACATGGTCTTGAAGCGGACGGCAAGGTCATTAGTGTAGGACTTCTGTGAAACTGTCTTACGATATATAGCACCATTATTTCCTGTAAAGCCACCAACTACCGCAACTGCAATTTTTCCATTAAAAAAAATTTTAAAACACAAGAAAACAAGAGAAGATGTAGAACTAATCGATACTCCCCGAATACATGCTAGATCTTAAAGGCTCAATTATGCAGAAGAGAACCATGGTCCTTCACTGCACTTCTCTTGATTGAGATCCATCTACATATCATGCTGTTGATATGATAAAATTATGATGGACGGACAAATCGACGTACAAACGGACGGACAGACAAAGCGACGACGGTATGTTCGTCATCGAGGACCATAAATATGTGGACGACTCGGCTTGTTATCTTCTTTATGCATTATGTTATGATATATATTTATATGCTTATTCATCTTCACATTATTTCTACACAACACTTTTGATTTGAACGTGAAAGTTAAAAATCTTCGGTATCAGAAATGACTAAATTTCCTAAAATGTCTTGCCCGCATTTAACACCGATATAGAATACTAACTTTCGGAGCAAGTCCGGCCTGTGTATCCGGTAGCAGTACAATCACATTCGAACTCGTCCAGACTGCTATAGCACGTTCCGCGGTTGCATGGATTTCTTCCACATGGATCACGTGATACACAACCAGCACTGATACTGGTATTATTGGACGGAAGTGACGTTAATCCCGATAACTCAGTAGCTAAAAAGAATTTGTAAATGGTAAGAAATAAGAGCTGCTATCACATGACTATTATCACATGATTGTACCAAAGTCACTTTTCAGTTTCGTTCCAGATATCATATATGAAGAACCAATGAATAAAGATGTTTTACGAAGCCAATGGGTCCTTCTAAAACTCTTCAGATGTATGTAAACGATTTGTTAAGACATCATTGACAAAAAGATTTCAAAATTAAGGTCCTTTCAGGGAGAAACAGATCTATGACGCAAAGAACCTTTTAGCTTCACTATATCTAGTTACAAAGAGGGAGACAGAGGCACAGATATGTTCCCATAAAACACATGATAATGATTTTTCTTACCCGTTGCTGTGATAACAAGATTAATCAAACACCCATTGAAACCTTCACCGGACCAGATGTAAGGGGGGTAACTCGGCAGGCCACTGATGAATTGTCCACCGTTGAAATTTCTCTGATTCTTTGTTAGAGGATTTAAGTTCTCTTTCACGATGTTACTTCCTACTGACGCCGTTAAGACATCGTTCTGAATTGCTAATCTCACGGCATTTATTTGACCATTAGTGACCGTTCCGGTTGATATCTGTCGTCGACGAATGTCACTTTGACCAAAGTTGAATATCAAATAAACTTTACCGTCAAACAGCTCAATTCCAAGGAAGACGTCGGAATTCGGTCGTTTAGCAAACCAGATTAGACCTCGTCTGTCAAATGTCCTGAATGAGAACTCAACAATTCCGTCAGATGTTAGGTCAATGTAATTTCCTATCTTCCAAGCGGAGGAGCGAAACGTTGCATGGTCAAGCAGCGTAACAGTCTGGTCAGGTTGAGAAGGGCTGATTGGAAAGTTGGTTGGTAATGGCACATCCAGGTTATTGGATACGGTCACACGACCATGTACGTTTCCCTGTGTTTTTATGTTAGATATGAGGTTCATCAAAGTATCTGAAGCTCCTTTCTTGTACTCAACCTACACGACAATAAAAACGTATATACAATTTCGAAAATGAACCAGAAACAGTTACAATTTAACACACCAATTGTTTTTAAAATGATCTGTACCTTACCAAGATAAAAATTATTCAAATTCAATATTAGAATTTATTAGAAACAGCACTGAAGAAACACGTGTTATTTGTTCCAAGACATACCCCAGACAGCTGTCCCTCAAAGTTAGTAGCGACTTGACCACGGGTGTAGGAGAATGTGTCTGGAGATCCACCGACATACACATTTCCCTCAGATGCTAGCTGAATCATGTTTTGGTAGTACGTTTCTTTTGGCGGTTGATTGTCGATAAAGAACTTCAACTAGAATCAACATGTGTAGATGTATGGCCTATACTGATTTTTGGTTAATTTTATACACTATCGTACATGTCAACATAATCGCAGTCCAAACTCAAATTTAAAAAAAACTAGTGCAGAATAAAAACAAAATAAAGATTTAGATGGAGACTCCTAATATCTAGCTAAATATGGTCTACCCTACTGACCTCTATCTTTTTTTACTCAACTGTAAGTATACAAGAAAGCCCTACCATGGGTTTAACTCCTCATGCATTCCCCTGTAGGTATACAACAATGATACAAGGAATCTGGACTGGACTTTATTACTACAAAATTAATTAATTGATTGATTAAAATTAATTCTTTTTTTTTTTCATTTCATTGAATTTATTATTATATGACATTTTTTTCTAAAAGCAGTTCCACTGTCAAAAGACGATGAATACACATATTTTACAGAAAATTTCACTTGATATTAGCTTCACTTGATCGACAACATCAGCAATACGCATGTTTTAAAGAAGAAAAACACAGTAGTGGAATAAATCAAACCCATTTCCTGTTTTCTGTCAGCAAGAGATTTCTCAACCTTAATGTATATTCCTTATTGGTGAACTCCGGTTTTCGATAACATTTATTTTCATTCCACAGGTCTCATGAATATTTATCATAAAACATATTGGCCAGATGATAAAGCTATCTCAAACGTAATGGATTGATCATATTTTTTTCTAGAGAAAAAATATTTATTTAACCAAAGGCAAGTGAAAAGTTAACATTATGTGTCCTTATACAAGAGGGCTTTCACTCAACATATGTTTACTTTCATCCTCTTACACACTCCTTTCATTCCTAGTTACAGTTATCTCCCTTGGTTACCATAAAAACTGTCAAGTGTCTCCAAGTCTGATATAAACATAAAATTTACAAAAACAAAACTCCGCCATGTCAATGACCAGTGGTTGGGGGAGCCCTACCAAATCGGACACTGTCAAAACAAGAGACGTTTTTTAGTGTTGTTAACATATCATTTAAATAAATACTTTTTTCATGGTAGAATATTTAACTTTCCTTTATATAAATATTACAGTTCTGCATTTACCAACATATTTCATGTGTGTAAGAGATTGAGAAGTTTCCCCATCAATAGTATTCATTCATTCATTCATTCATTCATTTATTCAGTTATTCTTTTGACTGATTTGAAAACTGAAAATAAATTCAATGATATTACAATTAATACATAAAACAGTAGTTAGCAAAAGAAAAAATGTCTGTAAACAGAACTCTTCCTACTAAGTTGAAAATTTAAAAGGAAGTAAGTAGTACCCTTCAAGTTAACCTTAGTCCAGTTTCCTTGTATCAGTGTAATTTATTAATCTAGAAACAATGTACATGCTCTGTTCTAATTATACTATCGTATTTCAAACTTAATTACTCTATAAAATTATTTTGCTATAAAAACTTAAAATGGTTCATCAGCTTAGTAATATCTGATCAAGTTACGAATTTAATGGTAAGATACTATGGGACAATTTTGACTGAATTTAAGGTCCTCAAAATAAGGCATTAGTGGCATTAAAGGACACAAAGCGACAGAACGCTATTTACCCTCTCCCATCGAAATGGTAGGACATAAATGATCTTAAAAAATTATTCTGTTCTCCTTACTTTAAACTACTATAATCATGATTATCAGAACATATGCACAATACTTACATGTCGTCCAATTTTCATTAATTTGAAGTCATGCCACGCTCCATCTGCAAGGTTACGCTGTGAGCCCAAATTCAACACCTGTGGGGATCCTATGCCACTGTCTATACCAAAAACAAGATACCCACCCTAGGAAAAAAAACAGTGTTTTATAATAAAGCGGGGTTTTTTCGTATGCATATTTGCTAAGAATATAGCCCTGGTATCAATTCCCGCATGATCTCTAGTAAAATTATCATATGAGCTATTCCTTTCATAAGAATGTTGTGATAATTTTAAAGCGTTTTGGAAAACGAGAGTTTGGAGAATTGGTCTCACAATTAACTTTACAACTGATTAGTTGAATTTTATCCCAAATATTTCTTTTACGTCATAAAAACAATCAATGTCATTAGAAGAAGGATGTCCAGGAGCTCAGAAAAGAAATAAAAAGCACAGAAAGAAATGAAGACTGGAAATGATTTATCAGAAACAGGAGCACAGATAATCGCCTATTACGAGAAACGTTGAGATACAACATAAATATCCCCCATTGTCTGCTGTAAGGTTAAGAATATCTCAAATAAAGTTAATGTTATCGATATATATAAGCAAAAGTCGAAACATAGTAGAGTTCAGTATATATTGTGACTTTTTTTTAGGACATACTGTGATATACTGAATCTACCACCGTTTCCTGCACTAGAATTATCACATCAGATAAGTATGTAAGTGATTGAGCACACTTATATTCAACTAAATTTGGATTTCATATATGTTTTTATTACTTCTAAGGACACAGAACGAGATGTTACACCACCCTATTGACCATCTAACGTGACGTAAAATGTCGTCGACTTTATATTATAGTCATTCAAAATGTTTGTTTCCTTGCGGATTTAATAGCACAAAAGGGTACAAAATGATTATATCCTTATCAGTAAAAAGTTGTCATTTCTTATTATTTGTTTTTGTATATCAAAACAGATACATTGTATTATTATATTATATTATATATTATTATTATATTATATTATTGTATGTCAGAGCAACATTTTCTTTTATGACAAAAATTGAAATCTCATAAAATGAAGTTATACATAAATCTGACTTGCCTTAAGAGCCAGACAGTATGATAAGAAAATACAAGCTTAAAAATGTGAATTTGTCCATAAATCAGTCTTACCTTAAGAGCCAGGTAGATAGTTTGACCGTCTCTTCTCTCCATCCAAATGAGTCCGTCTTGTTGCCGGGTTCGGAAACGAATGTCAAAGGTCTCATTACGTGTTGACTGTTGGACTATATCAGGGTACTGTTTAGCAAGATTACTGAGGCGATACGACACGTATCCTCCTTTGTCAGGGAACTGTAGGGTATGTTGTATTACGGTGTCGGGTGTTGGTATTTGATGGTTAGCTGAAAATATTGATATCATTCAATAACCTTCTGAGTAGCGCCTTTGATGAAATTATTTGTATTTATTAATCTTATATTTCATAATATCTTCCGTTAATTTCTTGAGATTTTTTATAGCTAGTTGTATGTTTTACAATAAAATAGGTACGAAGAAGAATGTATATGGTAGTTAATAAAACAGTCATTAAGTAACTCCCTCTATTACTGCGTGCCACAGTTTCATTCATTCGAATAGTAACACGTATCAGAGTATATATTTAGATATAGAAACAAGTTTAAAGACTGAAAATACGACAACTTGTAAAACATAAGTGATTTCATTTCTTCATATGTTTTATATAGATACGAACTGTGACGTCATGAATAACAATTCAATAGTGACGTCATATTCACACGGAGAAATAATTTTACCTAAAATCATCAGAGCTGTAACGATATTATCTTCCGTGACGTCACATTTTGTAGCTATGTTAAACATTTGAAGAAGAAATGAAAGCGCTTATGTTTTAGAACTTGTCGCGTATTCAAGTCTTTTTTTCAATAATGCTAAGCAGAGATTCACCACAATATTTATATATAGTTCTAAAATTATTTTTCATATGAAAACTATGAAGTTATTGAATTATAGGGCCAGTGCAGCTCCTTTTCTAATTTATTGCTTTTCTTATTTTGGATTTTATTCAGTCGCCTTCAAGGCTTCAAACTTCAGGCTCCTAGCATCACTGATGTGCCTAGAAGGATGAAACAGCATTATGATGCAGTTTCATTCATGGTTTGCCTCTACTCTATCTGTTTATTTGAATTAAAAAGGGTTATTCACTTGTGTGTCTTTTATATAATCTTATTCTTCTTTTATTTTGGTATTATCTAATTCCAAAGTCCTCGATATCAGAATTATTTAATGGTAGTTTAGTCTCAGAGGTGGAGAGTAGAACAAGGTGTTTGTTTGTTTAAAACAATTCCTTACGATGATAATAATTTTGCTACTTCAGCATATATTGAAAACTTACGATTACATGTTCCTGTGAGAATGGACGGATTCCTGGCAAATCGTTCAAGTTCGGGAGTTTGTCCATTTATGTAGACCGAGGACAGACATCCAACAAACCCGATCTTAGAATGCATATACCGTCCAATGTCGCCGATTTCCTTTAACATATTGACAGGAACGTCTCCTACATACATCTGAGTGACGTTGAAAGCGGGAGTATTAAACGTGCTGATATTTGTTCTAACATTATCGATACGGACTAGATACTGAGACTGTCCGATCTCTGTTTCTCCTTCTATAATTTCTATATCGTGCCAACGGGAGTCATCCACACGGCGCGCAATTCTTTTTGAGTAATTCCTTGATGTTCCGAGTAACCCAACCAGCACATGACCTACGATGACCTCTATGTAAAGAAACATGCCCGTGTGATCTTGCAAAACCAACACGACACCGGTGTTTTTGTTAGTACGTAATTTGAACATAACATGAAGTCCCTGTCTGGAAGTGAATATTGGAATTTTCACATACGCATCTTGTGATAAGACAGTAATTGGATTAAAGACAGGGAAGTGCAGAGTGTTCGATGACTTCATGTTCGTGATCCAGTCGATTGTGACATCTGCCCGTCTCCTAAGAATATCTAAAACATGAACACCGCCAATGTTGACGCTCTGGAGGTAACCACTGTAAGGTATAAAATCAGACATGCTTGCGCTTTTCCTATGGTTAGTGAAGTGGACTTTGTCGATCGTAAATGATGGGTAATCTTTGTCAAGGTATCCTGAAAGAATCCGAAACACATGTCCACGTATGTTAAAATATATCCAAAAACCAATCGACAACAATATATATACGTTTCTTTTTTTTTCAAACATAGTTCAGAGAAGGTATACATACAGACATACAGACAATGATAAATAATTTTTGATTTTTGTATAAAAACGAATTTTTTTTTCTTTTAATTCAAGAAGTAATGAAATATTAGATCTTCATGTATAATTTTTTTAAACAACCAATTATTTGACTTTTGCTACATGTAAATAAAATGAGCCAAAACGACATAAGAACAATACGATACGTTTGGTACCATAAACAGGTAGTGTATTTTCAGTGACAGAGCACTCAAAACAAGCATATCCGAAGCTTAATCCATTGTTCCATGTATCGTTTTAAAAGCCAGAGTTGCGCTTTACTAGAAACACCTATAAAGCAAGAAATCAATCAACAGAAATGAATTTGTAAATATGATATACATATAACAATCTTACCCGTTACGTGTTGTTGATTGTCCACCCAAAGTTCTAGTTTCCTTCCGCGGCGTCGGATGTACATTGTGTGCCAGGAAAAGTCGTTCAGTCTAGATCCTGCGAAAAACTCCTGACATTGACAGAGAAAAGGAAGTATAGGAATCTTTATTTTCCGAAAAAAGAATATGAATTTCACATGAGTTTTCGTGAGAAAAAGCTATTGCAAACAGGTGGGGTTTTTTTTATTATTATTTCTGAGTGTGACCACATGCATTGTATTGTATTCCGGTTTTGTATGTTGAAGTACAAACCTTGATTTTACCGCCAACAAATACAGAAATCTTCAGACGACCGTTTTTTATCTCCGCCCGGATGTACTCGGTTCTCTTATTAGCCTCGGTTTGAAACAGAAAGGTATTCGCAAGCATGGTGTTGAATCTGAGACTGACGTCGAGAGTACCGGACACAAATGATGAACTGAAGCTATATGTCACATACGTGTCACCTCGAAATTGACCAATGGGAGCCACTGTATAATAAAATATATATGTTTATACTATATCACAAGGTTTTCTCTGTATTTGTTATTCATTGAACAGAATGTACGCAGCGTTAATCGATTTTATGAACGAACCAAATGCAGCACTAAACCACGTATTTTAGCAAAGAAGCAAGACCACCACATAAAAAATTCATAACCTGAAACCTACAATAGATTTCGGTTTCATTTCGAGCTGTGATGATTTTACTTACCAGTGTCACATCTCATTCCTCCGTATCCGGTTCCATCACAGTTACAGACATATCTATCCATACCTTCTCGACAGATTCCATGTAAGCAGGAGTCTGGATTACAGTGGGGAGTCAGTTGACAGGTTGTGCTGAGGCCGGTTTGGTCATTGACTGTTACTGGTCCAAGAATACTTGTAACTGTGATTTAAACATTACATAATGTAAATAACTTTTTTTTTTCCTAAAAAAATTACTATTTGTGATCAGTCTAACTCATGGATCAACAATGTTTACAAATTAAACGCTTCTTAATTCGTGGATAAACGTAAAACCGGATTAAACCTTTTTCATGAGTCTCCGTGTAAATCTTTCTTTTGTTCATATTTTGCCCTAGTTTTATAAAATTTGAGTTTGGATATGATACTGGACATTGTTAACATGTTGAAAATTCTGTGATGTTTCTCGAAATCAACGACACTAATCTGTCATTAAATTAAATAATTCTATGAAACATGTACATTTGTTTTTAATGAATTACCAACTATATATTTTAATCATCTAAATAACGAATTGTTCATAAATACAAAAATTAAACAATATGCATCCATATTTGGAAATGTATACCACAAACATTTCGATTACAACTCATATCAAATAATGTTTTTCGAAATACTATTACTTACATGGAATATTATTGCTATCAAATTGAATTGAACATTGATAATTTGAAGTTTACTCTTTTTTTTTCTATTACACTTGAATCATTCTGACTTTCAGATTTTGTTATTGAGAAATAAATTAAATGTCATCATACTTCAGTTATAAAATCCTCATCATCTAATGGCTTTATTTAGACATATCTTAGAAACTTAACATTTTTTAACCTTACAAAACATGATATCAGACTAAAAACAAACTGACACGTTTTAAAATAACTTTAGCTCGACAAAATGAAAATGAATACGTAAATTGATATATAAAGCACGAGGAAAAGTCAAATGAACCTTAACTGTGGTAACAGCTTTATTATGGTTTTAAGAAACATTTCATTTCATCTACTATATATTTCAAGTCTTTGTTTAACAAGGAACACTTATACTCACTATTGTCATCAATTCTTAATTTGCTGAAGCAGCCACGGTAGCCCCGTTGGGACCAGAGGTATCCTGGAAAATTCCGTTTAGGAGGTAGACCAGCAATATAAAGTCCTCTGTTAAACATCAACTGATTTTGCTCCGCAGTAGTTAACTGAACAATTTTGCTATCTTCATCCAAATGTACAACGATACTATTTTTCCCAAAAACTAAGTTGACGTCATGCCAGTTACCGTTGGCAACGTGACTTCCGGGAACTTGTGCTCTCTTTACTATATTGCCCAGGTTGTAGACAAAGTACAACTTGCCATCCACCAACTCTAACGAGATGAATAGTGCAAATGGTTGATTCATCATGCGCTCACTAAAGAATATAATTGCATCGAAGTCAAAAGTCCTGAATCGGAACCCAAAGCTGCCACCTCTTCGGAGGTCTAGCCAGCCAGGAATGTGCACGGACGCTGAACGAAGAGCGATGACATCGATGATGTACTCCGCTGTAGTTGGAATTGTAGGATTGGTGTCAGTCACGTTTTGGCCATATTTCTGGATCGTTATATCGCCGTGCTTGTCACTGCCAGAATTAATGTTGTTAAAAAGGCTTATTCGTATTACCTTTTGTGACACTGTTTTCACGTATTCTACCTGTAACAATCACATACACGAACTAATAAACTCACATGCCCTTCGGATCGTGTCGTAAACCTATTATGATCATAACAATATAATTTAAACATTGAACTTTCATTTTACAGCATTCATGGTCGTTAAGAATGGTAGAACTTTGGAGGCAAACACCAGATTGTGCACCAGAAAATGTACAAATATAGACTGATAAAAATATTTCAATTTACCATATTTCATTAAAATTAAAAATTCTTTTGTTACGTCCATTGTGGTAATGATAATGCTTTTCCATCTACATTGCGGAGTGAAAAATATCTTAGAATCTGTATAAACCTGACTGTAAAATTGTTAATATTTGTGAGGATTTTATGTTAAATTTATTATTTGTATCTTTAAGTCGAGGAAACAATGTGCCCACGAAATGAAAAAAACATATTGAACATTAGCATGAAATTTTATTACTATTGGATTTCGAACTATCTATCCACGGAACCAAATACAAAAAAACGATGATCCCGATTTGTGTCGACTTAGTGTGGTGATCACTTACAAGGTAGAGGGCACCATTGAAAGAGGAACTCATTCTTCCACCAGTAAGTAACGTCATATTCGGAGCCCCGCCCAGGTATAAGTGGCTACTGGTAACGAACTGGATATCCTTGTACATATCGAGTTCAGTTATAAACAGACTGTCTATGAAGAACTTCAACTACAGATAAAAAAACAATAGAAATTCAAGGTGTCTTCCAGTGTTCAATCATTATATACATATGAATTTTTTCTGGTCTTTTTTACCTTTATTGTTCGCTGCTTACGCTATTCAAAATAAATAGTTCTTTGTACTAATATATAAATACAATCGAAGAGTGGTTGATTTTATCTAGTTTTACAATTATTAAAAACAGATAAGAAAGAAGCAAAGGGTTAGGCGTTATCAATCACGTGTGATGGAAACAACTAAATATAGGTCTAAATATCCTGGGTTTACACGATAACTCCATCTTAGAGCAAAAGTACAACTAACAAGAATGAATCAGTCACGTGTATTGGGATTAAAATGTATCCAGTTGCCCATTAACTCCTCTTCAGCTATCAAATATCAATATTTATTCTCTTATTAAGACGTGACAGTATACAAAACACTTACATTTCGATTATTTCGTTTAACTTCAAAGGAATGCCATACGTAATCTGTAATTGAGGAACTAGAACGTAGCCTCGAGATAGACGTTGGACGCACGTGATCATCGAAGACGAAGACGAGGTCGCCATTCTGGAAAAATATAAGAAATAAAACATCGGTGGTTCATTCATATAACGTATGATATATGAAATTTATCAGATAACCAAAAGAATTAATGTCCATTTATCTTTTATGTATGTGTTTGTGCGTATGTCGGAGAAAATGCATTTAAAAGCCATGTTAAGTTAGAAAAACATTTTCAACCAAAACCACAAACAAAATAATATGTCAACAGCTGTCTTAAACTCAAACGTTTTCATCGGAATCTTTATTGTCAATACGAAGTTTTCTACAAAATTTCAAAACGTCTGTCCTAAGTTATCGTCATCACATTTCTTCAGAGTCGAGCAAAAAGACCTTTTGACAATAAATGTCATTTCAACGTTGGATAACCGACTCTTGGACAAAATAATGACCTTAAGATGCATGCATTCTACTTTTCCCCATCTTAGGTTTAACATTTTAGACCCTTAACATCACTGACAAGTCCTAGAAGGACGACACAGCTGTACGATACAGTTTCATTCATTGTTTGGCTCTTTCTCACTCTTAATTAATGGTGCTATCTACTTGTATGACTTTTGTACAACCTTACTTATCTCAGAATTTCTCTTTATTGACACATTCATATTCCACCTCTTATTACAATATTACTGAAGCAGATTTAAAGATGGCTCAAATACGTATGTGTCCAGCTATAAAACCAACCGCTCGGTGTACTTACAATTATTCCAATGTAAAGTTGCTCCGTTTTGCGGTCGTCCATCCAGATAAGACCATTTCGTTGGCTGGTGATGAAATTGAAGGAGAAATTCTCAATTTGAGCTTCAAGTATCATTGCATGATGGATCTGACCCAATTTAGACAAATCGTAATGGAGATATCCTCCATCACCCTTGAATCGAACCATATTGTCTCCAGTAGTATCACTTGTCTGAGAGAAAACCACGTCTGAAATAGATACAGGATCAGTAACCAAACGATTATCTTACCCAGATCTTAAAAAACCATAACATATATTGGAACTACCAGTGGAATAGAACCTGTCGAAAGACTTCAACATTAATAAATGTCATCAACGTTATAGTTACATGCATTCATCGCTATTTTATAAATACACATAATCATTTCTTTGCATAAACATACATTATTGAATTCCCACAAAGCCCGATATCTATAGTTACCTAAATATACCATATTTCCCAGTTGGAGAGAATGAAAGTGGTATTTTAGAAACATATGCACTGCTGGATATTGTCGGCAAACTAACAATATACGAATATTAGGGTGAAAAATGGATTATTTATTGAATCGTATATAGACCTAATCTTCATATCATTAATGTGCGCTATCATAGCATCTTTCCTGTTACAGGGGCGGCGACTGATGAGAATCTATTTCGAATCACAGGTATGTATGTGTTGTCCTTTTGGGGTATGGGGGTACAGTGCGTCATGCATTTACTGTATTATGGTAAAACCGTAATAATGACTGATGAAGGTTTTTAGATTGTCATAATGATCATATAGGACATTGTTTTCATTGCTAACGCCAGGTATTATTCTCGTTGTAGTTTCTCAGGAGTCTCCGTCCGTTGTAATATTTTGTCCATATTTTGCTCTTTGGGTTTGAATTGTGAATCCATGAACATGCCGATTTTTTCTTTGTTGTTTAACCAATTATGTGATCCTTAGTTAGCCACTCGCACATCCACCCAACCTATAAATAAATATCCATCATCACCTATGATGAATGGGTTTTCTGTCTATTGTCTTTTGTTTATAGAATATCATATCCATCCCATATGAATACGCTACTAATAAATATATTATATTAAGTACACTACATCCCGACATTCCGGATTAATTACTTGAGTATCTGATCCGGATATGAGTGCTTTACATTCACATGTAAAGTAGATTGTGGTTTTGTACAGGATAAAAGCACAGCCTACTCGTGATATTGAAACATTTATTTACTGTTTACATACACTTAAATCAGAAATACCAAATGCATTACAATTATTGCCCCACTTATATTAATAGATTCATAATGATGTTCTATGGAAACAATGTGATAGATGTATAAATTGTTAATGAAGATTTTTGTTTAAAATGAAACCACGGCACTGCTGGCAGTGATATCACATCACCACCTGTTAATCTCCCTTTCATTATTAAGACTATACTATGTATACACTGTCATTAATCATCTATAGTCTATACCCTTACAAAGGCAGCATCTTATACAAAATGCTGTATGTACAGGAGGATAGTAAGGACTGTATTGCGTATCTGGGTGTGTTTTGCTGAAATTGCTTCATCCAAACTAAAGGGGAAAATAAATACATTGGTATATATTTCCCCCTCTACCGCTCAATCACTTATACAAAAGTCTCGCTAACAATCTCCTCTATCTCCCCTAGTAGGCCGGCCCATCCTGCCCATTCTGAGGACTTAGAACTATCGTTTACACAAAACTGATTTCACTTCACATAAAGATGTTTCAGAAATTTACAGAGTTCCCCCATTTCCCTATTTTGCCTTTTGAAGATTTGCTTTTTTCCTATATTTGGCCCAGCTGTTCCAACTGTAGGAGGCTTCGAACCCACTTTTCCTTTTCACCATATGATTCTTCAGAACAAATTGTGACAGATACATGCATTCTTACAAAAGTAGATAGAATTTTAACAATGTGCTTCATTTCCTTGATGCGGTCCGTCACCTCTGCTTTAGGAGTGCAAGAACCATCGTTTTCTTAAAATTAATGCCCCATCACACTAGGATGCTTCAGACCGAATCGGGACAGAATCCTGATATTTCTATAAATGGAAGAAGGATTTTTAAAGAATTTATCTCTGTTTTCCCTGTTGGGCAAACCCGTTCTCAGAGTTATTGAGATTCAATGTAAAGACTTTAGCTTGGTTTTAATATGGATGATTTTTTACATAATGTTGTCTTATAATAAATCTGGATTTTTACATTTGTGATAAAAATGAAAAAGAAGCATCGCAAAATTCCTGCTTTAAAGTACAGTAGGCTTAACGTATCTCTTGGCATTAACTCTTGCTTTACTATAGTGTATAGAGTATTGTTAGGGAAAGGACAGTCCACTACACAAGTCAAATGAACCATCTCTTTATATAATTTGTTTATCAACACCTTTTGTCGTACAATGTGATATTAACATTTCTACCCCTGATATCATTCTATTTTGTCTTTTATTTGTCACCTTTATCTCTCGATGCGTCAGATTAATCATTTCACTTCTCCTGGGTTTTCTAAGGAAATCCAGTTTACCTCTTCTTAATAACTACTGAAACTTTCCTGTGTATGGAAACCTTATGCAGCAACAAGGACAAATACTACAGCTTACTTTAGTTTCAGTTCCAAAAGGAAATCGAATGAATGTATATTACATTATCATAACTGTATTTGTTAATTCCGTAAAGGCTTGTATTATTTGCTGGGTTTACATCCCTTGAACAGCAGTCACATGCTATCCAAAGCCATGAGGGTAAAGTGTTTTGCCCTAGTACACACTCGCATCAGCACTGACCGGTCCATTTCTAAAACAAACGTCGAACCAGATTCCTCGGATCTCTACTTGAGTTTACGTAGACAAACACTGAGATCCCATAAAGTTCAAATGTTATTTATCCTCAGTTCTAAACTTGGAATGTTCTTAAGGTAAAGTACACGTAACTTAAAGATATTTATAATCAAATGCACATTTTAGCGATTATTTTCTAAATATCAACATTTCATAGGTTCACTCAAAAATGCTACGCATTTAAGGATGAAGCAGCAAACATTCTTTTGTACTTCTGTCAAGCAACTCTGTGTTTTTTATAGATAAACCTTAATTTATAAATCAACCAACTAAAGTTTGTTTTACGATACTATAAATTTTACCTAGTGTATGATCAGTATGACGTCGGTATCGCTGCCACAGAAACGGTGCAAAAAATGTTTTCGTTCAAAAGACATTTTGTAGGTAATGTAAATATGAATGTTTGTGTAATTATGTTGTGACCAGGATTTACATGCTGGGTGTCATCGATAAAACCTAAGGCGCTTACCCCACCTGAACACCTGGCCCCACTTTATATTTCTCCCTAGTATCACTGAATTTGTATTTTAATGATAATTCCGTTAGCATTATTTTATTTTCTTTGTTGTTGTTTGCTTGCAAATCTCTGTCATTTTCAACGATTGCCATGAATGTTCCTTTATGAGCTATCGCTTACCACGATGTAACAGAATCATAAAAAATTCAAGTCTGCACGGAGTTTACAAACAGCCTTTAACAAGAAAAGTGTAATTGATGTTACTAAGATGTACATTTTCATATTTTCCGCTAACGTAAACTAATCTTATTAAAGTATGTAAACAAATGGTGGAAATATTTGAAGATTATATATATATATATATATTTAGTGACAAAATTATATAAGATTTACTTACCTACAGAGAATACAATCACCCAAAACAGTACCATTTTGTTGATCGTCATTCTCACCCAGTGCCTTTGACTGCAATCAAAAACTAAGAACCTTCATGGAACCAAAATTATTTGTATGCAACTGTTTACACATACACATATAAAATAAATTTTAGAACGTTTCAATTTCTATGTGCTGATGGATGTGAAGATCTTACTGCACAATCGACAGCTTATGTGTGTGCGACTTATGAAAGATATGCGCGCTATGTCACTAACGACTTCTAAACGGATGTAAAGGGGTCGGGACACACTATCACTTCTGTTTGGGGAAAAGTGTCGGAAAAGAGTAGTACGTAATTTGACCATTAATCATACTCGACTTTAAACTTAGTATCATTATGCATACGACAAAATATAACTTTAATTGAAGTGAATTTCAAAATAAATCAGAAGGATCCTTATAGCCATTCATCTATATTGCCTCCTATATATTGTTTCACTACTAAAATGACTGACTCAAGTTTATCTCTCTGACTTAAGTATTATACTCAAAAGCGTATTTTAATACATCGGATATTGTATCGGACCTATCATATATGGAAAATTACGAAATTTCTTGCATTATAAGATTAGCGTACTTCCCAACAAGCTGCAGGCAAGTCATATTGCAAGAACAATAGAATCGGTCGAAATATCAGTATATTACAAGCGTTGAACTAAACTTGAAAATAATTTACAGAAATAGACTGAAGACTTTCCAAATTTTGACTTTTATAAATTACTATGCTGTATTCCTTCTGTAAGATAAGAACATCTCCCATACCGAACAATATCAGTGAAGCATCTCAATAAAATAACCAGAATGTTTTTTTAAGATAGATTGAAAATAGTACAGCCCGTGATCCATTATGACCCATAATTCATTCTAATCATAAATAAGTTTTTGTTCTGTTATTTATAAAGATAACAAATACCACAGCATATCGTAACAGAGGATGTATCACTTTATGTCAAGAGTATTGTTCTTGGAGTCATATCTGCATTCATTGAATCCGAAGAAAAGGGGAAGAAAACAGTCTTATATCACGCGAATATATACATATTAATGACTTAAGTACTGTTAACATTGTTATGTGTATATTTTGACGTCACATTTACATTAAGCTATGATGTATGATAATTGTTTATAGTACTGTTTCTATGTCATTAACAATCTAAAAAGAAAGCGCACTTGTTTAATGATCATCTGGTAAATCATTCACATTGTTTAAAATATTATTTAATTTGCCTCCGTGATTTAAGCAAACGAAATGGGCACAAATTTTGTCAGTGTACTGAAGTTCTCTCCTCAACAAATACACATCACAAATTTTAACCGCGTCATTACATCAGCTCTATACATAGACATAATATATCCTATTTTCAAATCAATGCACTTGGTCATGTCTTGATAGTTCACTGGCATACGAATTAATGAGAAAAAACAAATGTTGGATACGTATAACAGAAAACAAGACGAAAACATTAAAAACCCTCACAGTGTAGAATGTTCTGCAGACATCACCTACAGAGCATCCTGATCATACTACTTCAAATTCTTCAAATTTCGCAATTAATAATTTTACAGAATAATTTGGATTACATGTCACGGAGTTTCATAATGCTGAAAACGTTCACGTTGCTTCTAAAGACTTAACTAAAAAGGTTTTTCGTTGATCGTTCAATGTTCAACGTTAAGATGTTTAAAGAGTCGTTCATAATGATTATCGATATCATCTAATTTGTGGAAGGAACAAGAAACACTACATACTTGATACAAGAGCACAAATTTATTGAATATATAAAATGAAATATTTCTATAAAGCAATGACAAAATACACACAAACAAATTTTGATACAGCTTGGATTTTGATCAGTATTTATAAAACCATATTCATCCCACGAACGTCACACAAAGATATGGCACAACTTTCAATTCAGCGTCTGATCAACTTATAACGATGACAAATTTGGAGACTAAGTTTCATATAATAGAAATATGATAAAAACACAAAGATTTTTCAAAGACTCAAAAGAAACCTCTCTTTATATAGAATCTAAAAATGTCCTTTACTTATATAAGTTGACGTCGCTGTTTCCTATCTTATGCAAAATATATCGACAAGTGAGAATATTTTCACAACCATATGATATATATACTTAAATAAATCACATAATATATTACCATATTTGTTATAGGTAAAGAAAGCATAGCATTATTATCCGATCTAATATATTCATACAAATGAAAATTATCTATATTTGCAAACGGTTATTCCATCACAATGCAATTGTTTTCGGATAAAAAATATATTGTAATTTAGCTGGTTTCATGGCAGGATATATTTAAGTAAAAATAATTTGAAAATGGTTTTGCTTAACATAGAAGACTGTCTGGAGGTTTAGAATGTACACACGTGAAAGACCTATGACAGCGCATTGTAGTGAGATAATTTCTTAAGATTAATAAATTACAGGGTATATCGATACTAACATCCACTGACAAGCCTTCTCACACCACTAATAAAACAGATCGGGACGCTTCTAAATTATCTGTCTCCCCCTTTTTGGGTTATTTAATTTCGTTTATTAGTACAAAATCAACCTAGTTTTATCATAATCTGTTATACGTTAACCAATGAAAAAAGTTGATACATGAAATTTGGGAACAAATTTCTTACATTATCATGGATCTGCTTGTGCTACAATTCACTATTCTTAATCCATATTACATTTAAAAAAAGATAATAAAATAATTCACTTGTACCGCAAATATGACCCTTAATAGAAAATATGAATTGTCTTTCATAAAGAAAGTGTTTAATATTATTCACAATAATTTTGGTTACTTTTGGTTACTCTTTCCCCTGATTAACATTAGTTTAGGTTACGATAAAATCATGTGCAAAAGGACCATAAATATTTTTAATCTAAAACGCTAAAAAAAGATTGTTTAACCTATTTCAATTAAGGTTAGAAATGGTCAAGTATTTGGGTGGAACAAAACGTATTTTGATTAACACATAGAAAAACTGGCGCATAAAATCGAAAATAATTCTAAATCTACAGTTATTCATGTTTAAATTACGAAGCCGGTCAGTAGAAGCATACAGTCGTTGAAAGTATATCATATGGTCTGGCAAGCGAGTTTTCCAATAACACATATCATAAGGAAGTTAAGCCTGTTTTAACAATTCTCAAGTATTTCATAAATTCGTAACCAGACATATTCGCAAATTAAGATTTTTGCGAAATATTACTATTGAAATGAAACACCAACAGTTATTATTACTTTCTGTTGTGAATCTAGATAGAGCTGGCATTTTTATTACCCCACAACAGTTCCAATAAGGCAAGGGGAAAATTTGCATTGCACCACTGATTTTTTCGTTTTGTCTTGTTTTTAAATTATGCACTCTTTATGAGCTAATCTGACGTCGCACCTTTGATCGAACGACCTGTAACATAATCAGTTTCCTGGCACCACATTTGTCGCCCAGGGCGACTATGGTTCCTTTGTCATGGCTCATAGTAACGTAGAACACATCGACACCAGTAGTGAATGTGCAAATCTCACTTCCGCTTTTCAGTCTCCATAATCGGATGGAACAGTCGCGTGATCCTGACACAACAATCTCGTTATCGGGAGAGATCGCAACGCACCACACCTGTAAAAATACGTTCAGATTATAAATTACGAACTACTGTCTTATCATATTATGATTAAGATTGAAGATAAAAATTCAAAACGAAAACATGATACATATAAAATGAGCAATCTTATATACAACAGCACTTGATGCTTATGACCAGTGAGTGTAATTTATGAAATTGGCACGTGAATTCTTTGTATTCATTGTTGTTAAGTTGCTGTTGATATTCACAATAATCATGCAAATAACACAAATGAAATGAATATTAAGAAGCGTTTATTCAAAGGCTATAGTACATTTTTTACATCAGTGTTTGGAAATGAATTTTGTAAATAGTAACAAATAACATATAGAATATAGTACTTACAGCATCAAAAGGTGTTTATATGCAACCACAAAATCTTTCAAATTCTAATTTCACTGTTAAAGAATAGTTATGTACCTCTAAACTACTACTTCGTAATACCGAAACTAACAACATTATGATCGTATTCTTTCGGTGCGAAATGTTTTGACAAAAAGTTTACACAAAAGTTATTTGTTTACACCTACCTCGTCACCATGTCCAGACAGCGTATTAACCTGCCTCTCTGACGTCATATCCCACACTTTCAGGGTACAGTCTGTCGAAGCTGACACCAAGTATCTGTTGTCCTCAGAAATGGCAAGTGCCTTGATTTCACTACTGTGTGCGTGAACACCAGACCCTGACAAAAGCTGACGACTAGGATGTCCAGTGCGCAGGCTCCAGATGACAAGGTCACCATTCCGGAGTCCGGTAACAGCTTCATCACGTGGTAATATCACAGTACAATCTGGATTGGCATCAAGTCTGAGAAGGTTTGGTTCTGTTATGTTGAAACTAGTTAAAGTGACATCAAATGTGACAAACTCGGCATAGTTGTCGAATGAATTCGTAAAACCTGCTACACAATATCTGTCGTTTTGAGATAATGCTAAATAGTTTATATAGTCATTGTTACCCACTGGAACATCGTAGTGCATCTCTTTGATGGCTTGATTTCCTAACAAGTCCCATACTATAATGTCTGTTCCGTTACCATACTTCCCAGATCGTGCAAACACAACCTTATCTGGGTCTGTCATTACACATAATGCGGAACATGTTTCCTCTTGTCCCATCACTAAAGGTTTACCAGTGACAAAATCCCAGATCTGCAAGACACAAAGAAATAATAAACTACTTTGCATTTAAACTGACAGAAAATTATATAGAATATATATAAAATATAATTTACGGTTCAGCCAAAAGTAAACCTTAAACAACAAATGTTATAAAAAAATCAAAACCAACGAAATCAGCAAAAAGCAAAACTATGAGCGAGAAGTCGGCTTCATTATTAAATAGTCTGTATAGTTTTATGATATTTAATCTCCCCTGTGTATTTCGTGGTTAATGTAACAAAAACACTCGCACGTCCTACCAACAGCCATTAGATATATCTGGGCTGGGTTTATGGTTGGAAAGAAATTTTGAAGAAAAAAAATCAAATTAAACAAGAAGGCAATTGTCAGTCTGCTCATTGTTTCTGCTCTGGAGCTGATCATATCTTAAGTAACCAACTATTTAGTGTTGATGAGATATAAATGGCCAATTGTAATCATTCTATCGTTCACGTCGCGTTCAGTTTTGGCAGTGCGTATTTCATAATTAAGATTGTCACATTATAATGTGAATTCATCATTGTGATATCTTTATATGTCATTAGCATTAACCCATTCTGGAACGTTTTGTCATTGGTTATGTCTGTCAGAAATCGATTGTCATGTCAAAAGGTGGACAACCACAGGATTGTCACGAACTAAAACAAAATGACTGTCTCCGTTTGACTTCGTCATTCACATTTTGACAGAAGATGTAACTTTCCTGAGTTATATGATAAAAAGAATCTAACACTTCTTTTCATTTCAAAGAAATCTAATAAGAAAAACTTATGTATAGGTTTTAATTTTTGGGAGCCGTTAAACATTCTTCTAATATCGTTTTGTGAAATATCACAAGTAATGAAGCCCCTCTACACAACGATAATGCTTAACCAATATTGTCACCAAGATTCGGGACGTAGCATTTATACACAGAGCGTTTTCGAATAAAATGCTTTAACGGTTTTGGATGCTTTTGGTAACAGCACAACAAATTCGCGGCGGTTTTGTTTTTATGTTTCAATGAATATGATAAATATGGGTTTCTTTCCTTTCTTGTACAGGAGAAAATGTATTGAAATGAAAAACGACAGCTGAAATAATTCTTAATCCAATGCAAAATACATTTCTACTTCTTTTACAAAGAAAATTCTGAATGGTTATCTTGTTATTACCTGTAATGTTTTATTCGTTACTCCTTTCTTCGTAGAAAATTCGTTAATTTCTAGATCGGCATGAACTGCGCCAACTAAAAGGCGGTCATTACAAGCGAGGTGGAGGTTTGTAGATCCAACAGTATCACCTTTCATGATTCGAAGAAGTTCTCCAGTCTTAAGCCAAAAAATTGAAACATCAAATATACAAGTCAAATGCAGAAGTTTATTAAGTCCTTTATTAATAAAAATTTGGTTAATATTTTCGAAGAAATAAATTTTGAATAGTTAATGAAAATATTGATATAATATCTGCATATTGTTCACATTAGGAAATTACCAGTTACTTAAATATATATCGTAACTATATATATACCTTTGTGAGCGATCAATTTTTTTGAGCATGAAGTAAAATACAATCTTCTGTATTGCATTTTTTTTTATTAATTTATCAATTCATCAACATTTTGTTTCGCCTGAAGTATAAACAAATATTATTGACGACTCGAAGAATTAATCACTCTTTGCAGCCAAATTACAAATGAATATACAGTGATTACCTGCATATCCCAAACTTGAGGTGGTCCGAGACTGGAGCCAGTCACAACACTTGCTCCATCTCCCGTCATAAAGCAACAGTCAACCCTGACCTCGTCTCCGGCTGCCCCGGGTGTAACAGCCCCACTAGATGTTGATCCGTAACTGACCATCTGATGACCGCTTTGATTCATCATCACTGTCCGCACGTTCTGGACCTAAGAGGAAGGAAGTCACATGTATATATTATTTTTATTTATCTTTTGATAGGAGTATATATCCCAATATACGAAAAAGACATTAAATACAATTAACAGATGATTTTTAACACTTTTTCATGGCAACATTTTGTAATTGAGTAATATCATCGTTGTAAGCATCATGTCTTGAATGTATGAAATATAAATAATGATTTGTTAAAGCCTTCAGCTGACTGATTATTTAACATTATTTATATTCAAAACATTCAAGACATGATGCTAATAAGGAAGAATGTAGATGTATTATCAATATTTTGCGATACCTGATAGTTGTATGAGGATGACATTGTAGACGTGGAATAACCTTTGGAAAGAGTTCCGCCAGTCATAGCGTTACTCTGATAATTCGCTGAACCTCCAGATATTCCAGGTGCCATATCGTAGTCTGCTGTTGTAGATTCGCCGTAGCCAATAGCATCCATAGATGATCCACCAGCACCTCCTCCAGCTCCTCCCATTGTATTACTGTTGTACACATTTGTAGTGGTCGAGGAATAGGAGTACGAAGAATTTCCACCGCCAGCCCCACCTCCTGCACTTGAAGAAGATCCTAAGTATGCTCGGGAAGCCTTTGGTGTTCCAATCAATGTGCCTTTGTTAGAGAATGTTCCCGTCGCTCTCAGCGTTGCGTCATATTGCCCCGCACCAGCGCCAGCAGCTGAACCTCCTCCAGCACCACCAGAAGCCACAGTGGCATTTGAGGAGGAATAGTAGGCCGAGAAAGCTGAATTGCTTCCTGCACCGCCACCGCTGCCACCGCCTCCACTTGCAGATCCATTCAAAATTGTAACCTTAGCTCCTCCGGCCCCAGCACTACCTCCTCCAGCCCCGGAACTACTAAGGGCCGCTCCACCTGGACCACCACCGAGAGCCTGAGCCACTGGTAAATTGGTTGCCGGAGTTGGTGATGAAATGGCCATAGAGGGTGCTCCACCACCTCCACCACCTCCGCCTCCAAAGCAAGGAACCATTCCTGGCTTACACTGCCAAAGAGCCCACAAAAGACTTGCCATGAAGGCCATTGTTCCCAAAATTGTTCCAAGCAGTGCGCCCGCGCGGGCTCCACCTCCTCCAGCAGCAGCCAAAGGAACGCCTGCCCCTCCGGCTCCGCCCGTCTGTCCTAATGCGGTAGGTCCACCACCAGTTCCAGGTACCACATTCGTCAACGAACCACCACCGCCAGTAATAGCGCCTGGTCCGGAACCAATACCAACCATATCGCTGCCACCACCACCTGGGCCACCGGCACCTCCAAAACCAGGACCGACAACACCACCGCCGCCTATATCTGGAGGTATCACAATGTTTCCATCAATTGGGGGGACCGGTGTCCGTGGAGGAGGAGTCAAAACTCTGGAAACAAAACCATTAAAAAGATTAATCACCGAGTCTTAATAGCAGAGTAATTTGGCAGTAATTTGCTAGAGAAGAAACAGTTTCACTTCCTGTCATTATGCGATGATGATATGATACTACGCATTTGTATGAGAATAAGATGTAAGCACAGAGACATACCACAGACAATGATTCATTGCAGGGAAATATTGTCCTTATATTATTAAATGACATGTACAAAATGTTCCATCTATGGATGAGAAGTCTAAAGATAATAGCAGAAGTACCAAAAAAATTCCACAAACTAAATATTGGCATACAAAAGATCCTAAAACGTCTACAAAGCACAAAATGTAAGTACGATATTCACATAACTTAACTCAATATTGAAAACAAGATGCTTGTGAATGTGATATTGTAAAATACGTATCGCATAATACCATAAAAAATGCAGTTCTCAGAATAAAATACTGTAATGCACGCCCGTATCATCGCATAGACGCCATAGAACATGCAAGCACGATGAGCAACATAGAAGTGACGTCAGTACAAACACAGAAGCACTGAAGTTGAAGTTCGAACCTCAGAAATTGCAATACAAACAATAACAATAGATTTAGAATAAACAAAGGCTTTGAAACGAATGAAAAAATATCGAAACTTGTAAGCTTTACGTCCGTGAATACTTTTCCGTTTATTGATGGTAGATTGTCTGTTTAAGAGTTATTACAAGCAATTTAGAAGGTAATGAGTTAAGATATGTCCTCCATTTACTATTGAGGGAAGTAACTGTTACACAGGAATCAGGATTCAGTAATGTTACTGATTAGCTTTCATATACAAACTCAAAAGTCATGAAATGAATAAATTAAACTTAAATGATGATCGACATACAAATTCAAAAAGTCAGGAAATAAATAAATACAAGTTAAGTGATTACTGAAATAAAAAAAATAGCATAACACAATGTGGAATGAAGCAAAACACAAAAATGATAAACAGATGACATATTATATCTATCCTTCTCTGAATAAAATAATATGCGCATACATTCTCCCGTGCAATTCCATAAATGGAGATTGATTCAATATGTTTGATAGAGCAATAGTAGTGTAAGTATCGATAATATTTGAATTGATTATGGTTATTTAGTCACTGTTTATTTGGTAATTGCTCTTATTTTAAAAGATGAATTAGTCATGTAATGTTTCGTGTAAAAAGCATATAAGGAATTGCACGGCATATTACACACGGTCTCAGCAATCCAGGGCTACTGACAATAGTGGGACAAAAATTTGTGAAATGTATGTATCCGAAAAAGGTCAAGGGCAAAGCTACGTTACCTTGGGGTGGTAATAACACTGTAATTAAAATAGAATATGTTTCATATCGTGCCATTATAAACGTCACACCATTTTTCGTGTTTGTTCCTCAAACACATACTCTGCTAGTTGCTTGTCAACTTTAGACAAAAAAGTTCTCTATGAAACTATGAAATCTTATTAAATTTCCACTGCCCTGTTCTACTAAATCAAGCATATACCTTTGTAGTGCAAGAATTCATATTTCAAACTTGACTACATTCGTTACTAGTAGTAGTATTCATATCCAAAATTTCTTGTATGCTGCAAATGATATGAAACCATATCCAGAATAATGTAAAATCTAACCTGTATTTTATACATATTCATTAACTTTGATAATTACTTTAAGTAACGACTTTCATCATTTAACTATATCAATTTCCTAATATCCTAATCTGGTTTCTTACTAAAATTCTACAGAACTATACTGATATCCTAATGAACAGAGCTGAAGCCATTAACTTCTAACTGAACTATAAAAAAAGAACCAATGACGTCCTACGGAACCGTTCGGATATCCTAGTATCTAGTGCTATCCTTCTCAACTCTACATAGCATATCCTAATTAGTCAATATATTACCTAACTACGTCATATTTAACAGTATATATTATGTCCTATTTATCTATAAGTTTTGAAATCCAACTGAATTGTACATATATCCTACTTAACTGCACAGATATCCTACTGAACTGTACAGATATCCTACTGAATTGTACAGATATCCTACTGAATTGTACAGATATCCTACTGAACTGTACAGATATCCTACTGAACTGTACAGATATCCTACTGAACTGTATAGATATCCTACTGAACTGTATAGATATCCTACTGAACTGTACAGATATCCTACTTAACTGTACAGATATCCTACTGAATTGTACAGATATCCTACTGAACTGTACAGATATCCTACTTAATTGTACAGATATCCTCCTTAACTGTACATATATCCTACTGAATTGTACAGATATCCTACTGAATTGTAAGATATCCTACTGAACTGTATAGATATCCTACTGAACTGTACAGATATCCTACTGAATTTTACAGATATCCTACTGAATTGTACATATATCCTACTGAATTGTACATATATCCTACTTAACTGTACAGATATCCTACTGAATTGTACAGACATCCTACTGAACTGTACAGATATCCTACTGAATTGTACAGACATCCTACTGAATTGTACAGATATCCTACTGAATTGTACAGATATCCTCCTTAACTGTACAGATATCCTACTGAACTGTACAGATATCCTTCTGAATTGTACAGATATCCTTCTGAACTGTATAGATATCCTACTGAACTGTACAGATATCCTACTGAATTTTACAGATATCCTACTGAATTGTACAGATATCCTACTGAATTGTACAGACATCCTACTGAACTGTACAGATATCCTACTGAATTGTACAGATATCCTACTGAAATGTACAGATATCCTACTGAATTGTACAGATATCCTACTGAACTGTATAGATATCCTACTGAATTGTACAGACATCCTACTGAACTGTACAGATATCCTACTGAATTGTATAGATATCCTACTGAAATGTACAGATATCCTACTGAATTGTACAGATATCCTACTGAACTGTATAGATATCCTACTGAACTGTATAGATATCCTACTTAACTGTACAGATAACCTAAAAAACTAACAAACAACAAGTAACGTCCTACGTCCTAATTAGTTATATAAAGTTATGATGTCCTAATAGTGCCGTCCTACTTAACTATACAGATATCCACTCATTCTTAATAGCCTACTCACTAACTATATATAACTATATTCTGACTTGAGTATATCGACTTCCAACTGCAAACTAACTTTTGAGGTGTTTGTAAACTAGCCTACACTTGTAACATTAATATGGTAGGATTTTGTCAAATTCAGTCAATTTTGGTAAGAATAACGAAAGATACATCAAACGTACAAAGAAATGTGGAAATAAGCAGAATCCCTGCACCATTATTCTGTCATGCATTAACTAAATCAGAAAGCTGAACTATTGCTCAACACTTGTGATACATTTAAATCGCGTCAATTCAGCCAGTATCACATAACTTTTTACAACAACGACGTTTGTTCCAATATCAAGTCAGCCGTTGCTCATTTTGATAAATAAAGCCCCCATTCCACTGAACAACAGTTAAACGTCTGAATCGATATGGCTGGATTAACGAGAGACAAGTGTACCATCTAACTGCAATTCTAACACAAGCTGCTAACAGGAAAAACGTTCTCAGACAAAAAAAATAACAATTCTAATAACATATTTCCATTTCAATCCTGTTCATCAAAAACAGTATGGTTCTAAATTTTGCATAGTGTATATATCAATTGAATCAATGATGTCACCCCTTAAACCAAATGAGAATCACTTAACACGTTAAATAAAATTAAACCAATGAAATAAGTCAATAACATGTAAAATCAATCAATTTTCACAACGTTCTCCAAAACCTGCCATTAATTCCTTATCAATTTCTTTCCTTTTTGTGTTCATTTTTGTTGGGGCGTTCTCATCTTTAACTGAATGTAATTTTAGATAATGGTGTACATACTTGACCACTTTTTCCTTTGTATGTAATACTTACATCGGGGGTACCAGCACGTATTGTCCATCCTTTATCATGGTTAGATCTCCTGTCCATTCAATGTTGTTATCAGTATTGTGGGCTAGATCTATAAATCTGTTCCCATTGTAAAACAACCCTGTAATACAGATTTCCTTTTAGTATCTTTCTGATAGTATGGTAAAAAACAAAACCATAACGAGTCTGAAAAAAAACTGATTTGGGATTAATTATTTCGTTAAAAATCATTTACTTCAAAGAATGTTTTAAATATCTAAAAAAAATATTTGATGTAAAATATATATGACTAGATCTATTATCAACAGTAGATTGTACATTCAGGATCTCTGACGATTTCTGAAGCACATATTTCACTTTTTTCCTCAATAAAGTGAAGACAAATTGACACTATAAACTAAATACTGCAAACGAAACCTCGTTTTCTATTTTTGCATTTTAAAAATAATATCAACATTTTAGAGAATAGTTTTTACCTATTTTTTTCTTTCAGTATTATACTGGGATAATAGACTACAGCTATTATTGCTGTAAAAATTCTGCCACGTACCTCCAATGATACCGTTATAAGCATTCATTACAGCCCCGTTTGAATCTTGTCTTCCTCCAATGTACACATATTGCAGATTATCAAAGATAGAGTGAGCGCCTACAAAATAAAAAACCAAAACATTTAGATATTTTCAGTTACTTGACAAATAAAAAGAACACTAGTATAATCGCTGCTTAAGTCTCATCGAACTCATTCTGATCTACAAGAGTTACCTCCCTTAGTTTCTATCTATCAGATGGTGTAGCAATAAAGCAACACAACTGTTGAGGGACCGTGCATCTTTTTCCGATATTTACTACCGAATTGTTAAGCAAAAAAATAACTTAAAAAATTTCAAGTTTTACAGATACTTATCTCAAAATAATTGAAATTAATGATCATGACACGGCTATACGGTGTCTTGCGTCTTTGTTCATCTTCCACGTTACTTATGGAATCTTTGAAATTAACCATCTACTACGGGAGAAAAAAAATACCGGAGTGAGTGAGATCTTCGGAAAAACCATCAACATAGAATCTGGAGCCGTCGGAATCTCTATAGAAGTTGACAACATGGTAGCTTCCATCATTGTATTTGATGTTATCAATAACTATGGTTTGAGCACCATCCCCTGTGTCATACTCAGCTACCAAAAAGCCATTCTCCTGGAAATGTCAACATGGAAACTGTTACTACATACCTTTAATATTTGCGGTTACACATTTGACTTTTAAAATGGTATTTCTGCTTCGACAGCATTTTATTTCTTCCCAAGCATTTTGTTCCCATAATTGTAAAATCATAATGTTTCAGTGTGACTCAATTTTTCTTGGATTTTCAAAACAATAACTATATCCAATTTTCAAAACATGTAAGACCAATGCGAAGTTTTTGTCAGATTAAAGAAATGAGAAATGTGAACAAGAATCATGGTGAAACTTACCAGGCGCAATTCAATGTACTCGGTGCCGTAAAGATTATCAAAGCGGGAAAGGATGCCGTCCTCTCGGTATGTCATAAAGCCTAAGGCGATGTTGTCCTTGTCCGAATTCATAGTGTTCTCATATGTATAAGTCACAATTCCATCCAATCCTTTTTTACCAATATATAATCCAAGTGGATCTGAAAATCATTACCTCAACATTACACATCGTTATATAGAACGGTTGAATGTAAATTCTTCCTTAGAATATGCTTAAATGGAACACATCACCACTCAGTATCCTACAGCTTCATACAATATACTACAGTCTCACACTATATACTACAGCTCCACACTATATACTACTGCTCCACACTATGTACTACAGCTCCACACTATGTACTACAGCCTCACACTATATACTACAGCTCCACACTATATACTACAGCTCCACACTATGTACTACAGCTCCACACTATGTACTACAGCCTCACACTATATACTACAGCTCCACACTATATACTACAGCCTCACACTATATACTACAGCTCCACACTATATACTACAGCCTCACACAATATACTACTGCTCCACACTATATACTACAACTCCACACTATAAACTACAGCCTCACACTATATACTACAGCTCCACACTATATACTACAGCCTCACACTATATACTACAGCTCCACACTATATACTACAGCCTCACACTATATACTATAGCCTCACACTATATACTACAGCTCCACACTATATACTACAGCCTCACACTATATACTACAGCTCCACACTATATACTACAGCCCCACACTATATACTACAGCTCCACACTATACACTACAGCTCCACACTATATACTACAGCTCCACACTATATACTACAGCCTCACACTATATACTACAGCCTCACACTATATACTACAGCCTCACACTATATACTACAGCTCCACACTATATATTACAGCTCCACACTATATACTACAGCCTCACACTATATACTACAGCTTCACACTATATACTACAGCTCCACACTATGTACTACAGCCTCACACTATATACTACAGCTCCACACTATATACTACAGCCCCACACTATATACTACAGCCTCACACAATATACTACAGCCTCACACCATATACTACAGCTCCACACTATATACTACAGCTCCACACAATATACTACAGCCTCACACCATATACTACAGCTCCACACTATATACTACAGCTCCACACAATATACTACAACTCCACACTATATAATACAGCTCCACACTATATACTACAGCCTCACACAATATACTACAGCCTCACACCATATACTTCAGCTCCACACTATATACAACAGCCTCACACAATATACTAGAGCTCCACACTATATACTACAACTCCACACTATATACTACAGCCTCACAATATATACTACAGCTCCACACTATATCCTACAGCCTCACACTATATACTACAGCCTCACACTATATACTACAGCTCCACACTATATACTACAGCCTCACACAATATACTACAGCTCCACACTATATACTTCAGCTCCACACTATATACTACAGCTCCACACTATATACTACAGCTCCACACTATATACTACAGCTCCACACAATATACTACAGCTCCACACTATATACTTCAGCTCCACACTATATACTACAGCTCCACACTATATACTACAGCTCCACACTATATACTACAGCTCCACACTATATACTACAGCTCCACACAATATACTACAGCTCCACACTATATACTTCAGCTCCACACTATATACTACAGCTCCACACTATATACTACAGCTCCACACTATATACTTCAGCTCCACACTATATACTACAGCTCCACACTATATACTACAGCCCCACACTATGTACTACAGCCTCACACTATATACTACAGCTCCATACTATATACTACAGCTCCACACTATATATTACAGCTCCACACTATATACTACAGCTCCACACTATATACTACAGCCCCACACTATGTACTACAGCCTCACACTATATACTACAGCTCCACACTATATACTACAGCCTCACACTATATACTACAGCCTCACACTATATACTACAGCCTCACACTATATACTACAGCTTCACACTATATACTACAGCCCCACACTATGTACTACAGCTCCACACTATATATTACAGCTCCACACTATATACTACAGCTCCACACTATATACTACAGCCTCACACTATATACTACAGCTCCACACTATATACTATAGCCTCACACTATATACTACAGCCTCACACTATATACTACAGCTTCACACTATATACTACAGCCTCACACTATATACTACAGCTCCACACTATATACTACAGCCTCACACTATATACTACAGCTCCACACTATATACTACAGCCTCACACTATATACTACAGCTCCACACTATATACTACAGCCTCACACTATATACTACAGCTCCACACTATATACTACAGCCTCACACTATATACTACAGCTCCACACTATATACTACAGCCTCACACTATATACTACAGCCTCACACTATATACTACAGCTTCACACTATATACTACAGCCTCACACTATATACTACAGCTCCACACTATATACTACAGCCTCACACTATATACTACAGCTCCACACTATATACTACAGCTCCACACTATATACTACAGCTCCACACTATGTACTACAGCCTCACACTATATACTACAGCCTCACACTATATACTACAGCTCCACACTATATACTACAGCCTCACACTATATACTACAGCTCCACACTATATACTACAGCTCCACACTATGTACTACAGCTCCACACTATGTACTACAGCCTCACACTATATACAACAGCTCCACGCTATATAATACAGCTCCACACTATATTCTACAGCTTCACACAAAAAAGGATACAACACTGAATTCCTCATATTGCAATAGTATTACTTTTAAAGGCAAATGAGTTTATAAAATGCCAACATCTCATTTCCGTTTTGTAATTTCTATAACATTACAACAAAACCTAACCTACACCAAGGAATGATGTATTGGACAAAGGTAAAACTTCATTGATCGATTTGGTGTTTCCATCGTAAATCGCTTGTTGTGTTGCTATGGAATATACAACACTAGTTTCAGCACTAGTCGCTGTATTTCATTCTGAAACAACTCTCGTATATCACATACAAAGCAACAAATGATATGTATTAAACTAAAAACAAGATGTTCGATTTTTTAATATGAAAAACAGAGGACACTTGTCATGTTAAATGTGACGAACGGTACTTTCTTGTTTAACTGAATGTTTAAGCCCAACAAAAACATACATTAGAAAGCAAGACAGTGCTGACATATAATAAATTTACTTACATGCTTCACATCTAGGTCCTGCGTACGCCGTGAGGTTACAGTTACAAGTAAAGGTGGAGATTCCCGCTGTACAGACACCATTGTTCTGACAAGGGTTACTGCTTGTCGGACATACTCCATTGATTTCTGTAATGTTCAAAGTTTCTGTTATGTTATATTCATTGTATTTCCTTCTCAAAACCCATCTTTAGATCACAGGAATCCGTTTCAGGAAGAAAGTTCTGTCTATTTCCAACACAAAACTTTCATATATCGAACAACATTTATGTCGATGACATTTAATCCTTCAAATGGAAATATCGGAAGAGTATTTACAGAAAATATTTTCCAAAATCATAACAGCTCTAATACTTTCTTTTCATAACGTTGTATTATTCTTCCTTTGCTTTCGTATGCTAGCATCATACAACAAATATAATTTTCAAAATTTAGCAAATGCATACGGAAATCACTTTTTGCGCCATTTCTAAAATAAATTGACATAATGCACTCCTGACCTGTAAATGTCATTTTAACTGTCTCAACCATGGACGTTGTAAGAATAAAAAGAAGCATGCACTATCTCGTTTCTTGATTTTTTATCATTTCGCCTTATATGTTACAAGATGACATCAAGAAATTCACACAATTCAATACGTACATTTTCGCTAAAGTCATCAGAAAATTTTCAAAATTTTACGAAATGTCGATATTTATCATTTGCTAGTACCTTGACAAGAGTCCAAAAGAATGGCACTGCTTGCATATTTTTTAAAATCTGGGGTTCCGGTATTCAAATGCACAGAGGCTAGACATCCCATAAATCCTGTTGTCGATGACAGTGTTGACTTAACGAAGGCGTCAAGATTGAACATATTCTCAGACAATCCTCCAAGGTAAAGGTTATGCCCGGACAGTCCAAGGTCATCTGTCCCTGCAATCGGAATAGTCCGGAGAACATCGTCAACTCTCGCCTGATACACTCTGTTTCCATTGGTTTGCCTGACTTCCCTGACCTCGAACGTGTGCCACTGATTATCATCGGCTTTCTTGTTGATTCTGTTAGTACTGGTTCGGTACCCATTATTGTAAGCAAACACCAGATACCCTCCAACAAGTTCGACCGCAATGAATTTCCCCTTTCTGCCCTTATTGAAAAGGATGACACCGTCCGGCTGACTAGTACGGAACTTGAAAGTAATATGAAGGTTTCCAACCTTTGGAAGAGGTGTAAGCATCATGTAGGCTTCTCGTGATGTAATTGTCACGGGATTATATATCGGGATTGGCGGGTTCTGGCCCACTGTAATGTTAGTGTACCAGATAATGTTGAGATTGGGTTGCTGATGCAGCTTGGCGAAGAGGTCAACGTCATCGAAGTAGACATTTTGGAGATAGCCAATGTAGTTAGGTGACTGGGTAGATGCAGAGGTGCTTGACCCAAAGTTTATTTCACCAATATTTATGTAGAAATCTTCTCCCTCCAATGTTTCTGAAATATTGTGAAAGAATTTTTTTATCAGATATTATGTCATTCCTTTAAAATGAAGCGAGTCAAAACTACTTCATTTCAGTGTATTTTACAATGGCAAATTTATTTAATCTTTTACTATTTCAGACCGTGCCGTGAGTTTAAACTAATTCAAAATATGACGTGAACTTTGGATTTACATTACCAAGAGTGTCTATTAATTTTGTCAGGTGTTTACTATTGGATATGTAAAGGTCATACATTAGGATGTTTCAATCCATTCTTGGAAATTAATTTAAAGAGTTTCATGTGATGTTCATTGTAGTACAAATATAATGCTTGTGGCATTTAGTCTATTGAGTATCCATTACCAAGTACGTGTGGTTCTTTGTCCACCCACAGTTCAAGCTGATTGGCTCGTCTTTGAAGGTATAGATTATGCCATGTGTTATCATTCAAATTTGACCCCGTGTAATAAACCTGTAACACATACAATAAGGTACAAATTTTGAAAGCGATACAGAAAAAACAAATCACATATTACATTGCATCATACAGCTGTTCTATCCTGCTATGTCTCATCAGTGATATTGAACGCCTAATTTTTTTTTTTTTTTTTTTTTGAGCGACTTTGGTAGCAAACTCTGACAAAAGGAAATGCCAAAATCTCAACAAGGAGGTGCGCTCGTCCAATTTTCAATACATTTGGTAATATGTGTATCTTCTTCACCGTGCTAATATTCCAGTGATTTAAAGCGTGGTATGCAGGTAACAACAGACCTCCTGAATTAAAAATTCACTAACAGTATCTATAAAAAGAGAAATGGTGTCGATCATCCTAACGTGCCATCATTCATGAAGTAAAACGGCATGAAACAACGTAGAAATGGTAATATGAAATCTGTTAAAGACAATACACGAAAGCTGGACTATAGATGAGATGCCGAGAACTGATATCATTATACCGAAATCTTAAAACCTAAAAACAACAAAACCAAAACGAGGAGAAAAATGATATGTTTAGCACATAGCTTTTGTACTAGTATCGTAAGTTCAGTGTTTTGTTTCTGTACTTTGAAACAAAGGCTCTAGTTTAAATCGAAAGTCCAAGATATAACTATGCGGTTACGTACACAGTATGAAATACTCTTAGTCAATGCTACTTATACATATGATGTATCACTATGTATTAATTTTCAGGAATACTTCTGAGACTGAAAACAATAAGAAAAATTATGTTTGGTTGGATTGTCTTGGTTTGGTTGGAGTATGTCGGTTTGGTTGGAGTATGTTGTGTTGGTTTGGTTGGAGTATGTCGGTTTGGTTGGAGTATGTTGGTTGGTTTGGTTGGAGTATGTCGGTTTGGTATGAGTATGTTGGGTTGGTTTGGTATGAGTATGTTGGGTTGGTTTGGTTGGAGTATGTCGGTTTGGTTTGGTTGGAGTATATTGGGTTGGTTTGGTTGGAGTATGTTGGTTTGGTTTGGTTGGAGTATGTTGGTTTGGTTTGGTTGGAGTATGGTTTGGTTTGGTTTGATTGGATCGTGTTGGTTCGGTTTGGTTGGATCGTGTCGGTTTGGTTGGAGTATATTGGGTTGGTTTGGTTGGAGTATGTTGGTTTGGTTTGGTTGGAGTATGTTGGGTTGGTTTGGTTGGAGTATGTCGGTTTGGTTGGAGTATGTTGGGTTGGTTTGGTTGGAGTATGTTGGTTGGTTTGGTTGGAGTATGTTGGGTTGGTTTGGTTGGAGTATGTCGGTTTGGTTGGAGTATGTCGTTTTGGTTTGGTTGGAGTATGTCGTTTTGGTTTGGTTGGAGTATGTCGTTTTGGTTTGGTTGGAGTATGTCGGTTTGGTTGGAGTATGTTGGGTTGGTTTGGTTGGAGTATGTCGGTTTGGTTGGAGTATGTTGGTTGGTTTGGTTGGAGTATGTTGGTTTGGTTGGAGTATGTTGTTTGGTTGGTTTGGTTGGAGTATGCTGGGTTGGTTTGATTGGAGTATGTCGGTTTGGTTGGAGTATGTTGGGTTGGTTTGGTTGGAGTATGTCGGTTTGGTTGGAGTATGTCGGTTTGGTATGAGTATGTTTGGTTGGTTTGGTTGGAGTATGTTGGTTTGGTTTGATTGGAGTATGTCGGTTTGGTTTGGTTGGAGTATGTCGGTTTGGTTGGAGTATGCTGGGTTGGTTTGATTGGAGTATGTCGGTTTGGTTGGAGTATGTTGGGTTGGTTTGGTTGGAGTTGGGTTGGTTTGGTTGGAGTATGTTGGGTTGGTTTGGTTTGAGTATGTTGGGTTGGTTTGGTTGGAGTATGTTGGGTTGGTTTGGTTGGAGTATGTTGGTTGGTTTGGTTGGAGTATGTTGGGTTGGTTTGGTTGGAGTATGTTGGTTTGGTTTGGTTGGAGTATGGTGGGTTGGTTTGGTTGGAGTATGTTGGGTTGGTTTGGTTGGAGTATGTTGGTTTGGTTTGATCGGATCGTGTTGGTTCGGTTTGGTTTAATTATCTTCAAACATTACAACAGTTTACATATACTGCTGCATCACTCTCTGTTGTCACTCTTTTTTATTATAAACTTCAATCGTGTCTATTCTAAATATATTTTATTGTGCATCCAAAACGCTTTCTAAAAACATATAAAACTAATGTTATGAATATTTATTCGTTAAATTGATTATGTTATGCCATTTAATATTGGTGGTTATATTGAATATTTCTCGACCCTAACTATAAATACCCAAATGTTAAATTTATGAATGACCTTGACATACCTGTTCCCTTCCGTCAACGAAGAATGTTATTTTGACTCTTCCGTCCTGAAGTTCTCCTTTGATGTATTCCGGGTGTCGGCTGGAAGCGGTCTGGAACAGGAAAGCATCGCCGAACATTGTGTTGAACCTCAGTGCTATGTCATTCGTGTGGGTTTGTCTTGTTGTTGAATAGTAGTAAGAAACAGAATTCGTTCCCTGAAATCCAGCCACTACGGCAACTAGAAAATTGAAAGGTGAGATTTTGTTTTCCAAGTTTCTTTGTATAATATTTTTCGCAACGAACCTTTTAAATATTTTAACAGATCAAAATTGTGTATAAATTCAGATACTTCGTTAATAGCATTTCCATGATGAACATGAAGCTTTGCATGTAAATACTGTTGTTATTATAACCCTAGTAAATACTAGTAGCAATATACCGCTCGGCTAGAGAGAACTTTCCTTTATCTCGATCGTTTGAGCGACAGACATGTAAGCCATGGGTCCCGGGTTGGAGTCCTAGCGGAAGCGTTGAAATATATAATTACCTCTGGCGAGTAAGCACCTGATTTGCTAATTCATTACCAGAGAAATTCTTCTCGCGACTTGACAGACAAGAGAAATCGTATTTTGGAGCTGAAGCTGAAGCTTTCGGAATATGAATTTGTGAATTGTGCCTACAAATTTCTACGAAACTGTCAGTAATTGATTTTCAGCATGATGCAGACAACTTAACATACGTTGTTCACATAGTTGTCCCTGGTATCCAGAGGCCATGCAGTCACAAATGAAATTATCCATTCGATTGTTGCATGTGCCATGCGTACATCGACTTCCATCACACCTTCCAAGCATAGTACAACCTGTCTGCACATTAGCGTTGTTGGGAATAGAAACACTACCACGCATATCCGTTGCTGAATGGAGCAGAAATAAAAAATAATAATGTTAACGACTATTGGAAATTAAATTGATAATGTTGTATTATAATGTTTCATATTATAATCAATCTGGTATCAGTTGAATATACATTGTTTGAAGGGCGGTAACAACCGAATCTATAGAGGATAAAGATGTTTCTGACGAGACAGATATCATATCTAAGAAACAGTCCTATCTTTTCTGTATTTGTATACAAATATCATACTATTGCCATGGTATTAACGGTACCCTAATTTGTCAAAGTTTACAAACATTTTCGGCCATCAAATGCCTCGAATCTTCAACTTAAAAAACATACATTTTAAGCCTTCTAAACTACTACAGTGCGTTATATGCAAATACATACAGAATTCTCGGATGATGAGGTCATCGAAGCAGCCGTTGTATCCTACCCTGGACCATATGTACCAAGGGTACTCCCGGCCCAGGGGCAGGCCTCCAATGTATAATCCACTGTTCATGTAAATCTGAGCACGTGACGAGGGGTCGATCTGAACAGAGGTCGTCTGCCCATCAACATACACTACAGCGTCATTCTGACGTAGCTGTAACTGAATATCATGCCATTCGCCCTCGTTCAATTTCCGATCAGATACCTTCTGTCTCATGGGTCCCTGGCCAAAGTTATATACCATATAAAGGTAGCCATCAAATATTTCAAAAGCGCAAAAATATGGTGTGCTTAATCTCTCTGTAAAGAAAATTACCCCTCTAGGCTCAAAAGTCCTAAACCGGAAGGAGATAGACCCTTGACTGCGCATATCAACGTATCCGGGAATATGCAAATACGCTGACCGGATGGAAATGACGTCAAGGAGTTTGTAGTTGCTTGGTCTTGGAGGTCTAGTTGGACGAGCAGTGGTGGGTGACGGGGTGGTTATCGGGAAAGGTGTCACATCAGGTCTGGGCGTTCTAGGTGGGCGAGTAGTCCATGGATCACCTGGCCTGATTATCTGGAAAGTGCCGTGCCGGTTTCCAGATTCAATGTATTGGAGAAGACTAACGATGACCACGCGTATAGGGGATATTTTCTTCTCATACTCTACCTGTAATGTATAAAACATTGGTGTATGGATAATCAAGTTGGGGAAAAGACATTTTAGTGTCTTGAAAACAAATTCAAAACATATATAGTACATTTACCTTAAATTCGATTTAACTTTTGTGATCAGAATGAATACTGTCAGTGGTGGTAGCTTAAGCCTTTTCTATCTTACTACAAAGGCTATATGGTGATCCCTTAGTTGACTTACCACTGTAAGGGCTCCGTTGTAGCTCGAGCTTATTCGTCTTTGCGTTAGGTAACTGGTGTCGGGAGAACCTCCAAGATACACCTGTCCTCTGTCCACAAATTGTATCTCCGTTCTAGTTGTTGTCTCCCCAACAAGGATATTGTCGATGTAGAACTTAATCTAAATGAGTTTTAAAAAAAAACAAACCTTTTAATTTACATTTTATTTTTTCGATTTTAGTTTAATCAAAAATATTTTGAAAACAAATATTGTTAGTTCAATTCGTGTTATAAAAAACATGTTTTCATATTAATGTCACTTCATCAAGGCGTATCACATATTTGTTGCTTTAATTACGTACTACACGGTCTTGAAATATATTAAACCGTACTAGAAATGACTGTTGCCTGTTAAGATTTCCCTTATGCACCCAAATTGCTCAGTTTCAATTTAATTGTTACCACCTGACAAACAATAAGAATAGCAAAAAAAAAAAAAAAAAATGGTAACATACCAAAGTAAAGTCGCGTATTTCAATAGCAATTTTATTAATAGTTCATTTGTTGATACAAGGAGTTTTGTCCATGATGACATAAACAATTGTAGCTACGAAAAACCACGTATCTCTTCAAATGTCATAAGAACTTGTTGAGTTTTACGGGACTTTTAATCATGTGATTTGCTAAATAGAGGGAAATATACATATAAAATTACGGGGTATCGTGTATTTCTTTTTTTTTTTTTTTTTTTTTATGCACAGGTTATTCGCCTAATGTGAGTCTGATATGATATAGGGAAAAATTAACTTAAAGTTTGAAAAATGACAAAACACAAAAATTCTTACATAGCGGCCGGATCTGGAGGCCTTGAACGTGTGCCACCTCCAGTCGTTAATGTCGCCGACCCGGAGGGACTGCAGTCTGATCTCCCTGAGAGCGCCGTCTCCTTCATCGATACCAAATACTAAGTACCCGTCCTGTTATTAACACGAAATGTTAAATGAACTACACTGTGCAAGCTAGAATACACTAAACACCATGGACAACATAGAATAAGAATAGTTGTATTTAAAAAAACGTATACAAAAAGTCTTGACACTGACAGTTCAATCTAAAAAGTATAAAACAAAACATTTGACAAATTTCGTTTCCTTTTGTTTTTTGTATTTTCCTTTTCAAGAAATATCATCAAAGTATTTAATATAAGTATAGCCAGCAAGTGCAAGTTGACTGAAAAGGGAAATAACTCAGCTCCTTCATAGCCACCTCCTCACAAATACCAGAGCATGCTGCTAGTATGAAATCAAACACATTATCACAATCGATAGTAAATTGCATGTTCAGAATATTTAGCTATCTTCATGACAGTTCAGGATGTCGATCTCATTACTTTTGAACCAGGCAGAAAAAATCACTGTATTACAGACTCGTTTTCATTATCCTCAAACTATCATGAAAACCCAAATTTCCAGCATTCTTCATCTACGAGCACCTGTAAATGGATTAAGATTATCAAGGGGGCAAACGAAACAATCATATGAATCATAAGAAAGATAGAGTAGAAAGGTCGACAAATACTGTGACCTTTATAATGAGGGTCAAAGGTCAGAAGATCATTGCATATTTGACCTTTCTTTTGCAATCATGCCTTTGTAAAACATTCCTAAGGTATATACAGTATAGATATATATTTGTATTCCTTCACCACAAATCCTTATGTTTTTCCGCGATAGCATTCACTTTTATCTACTTACGACGCAAGTTTTCCCGGGGAACGATTCATTCTGTTTGAAAAATATATTTGATTATTCATTTCCCTCACCATGGTTTCATTAGGATTTTAATATGTCATTCGTTTCTTCACTCACGTTTGTTTACAAATGTGTACCAAGTGTCATGCGCATGCTTGATGTTTCCGCTTCAGGTAAACGAAAACTTAACTTACGATACAGTCTTTGCTGCCTTGGTAAGCAACATTCTGTAGCAAATATTGATCTTAGTTGCAAGAGAGACGACATGATGTAATTGATGAAACGAAAGCAAAATAAATCTTAAGACACAAATTTCGCTATTATATACAAGTACTTCTAGATTCCAAACGCTGCACCATAAACCAAACTTGTAATTTAACGACTAAAGACATAATGATGTTTGAAATGAGATTAAAATGAACGTATTAACCTAAAAAAATCATAATATTTTATAAATGTGATTAGCTGCATTTCGAGTAAGATCCAAAACCGAAGGGATTTTTTCATTTTGTTAGCTCTATGCATTTCAGGTTAGTGGAATCCGAAGTTTAAATTGAGGGAATTTTTAATTTCGCTGCATTATTCTACTCTGTAGTAACAATGAGATGATATTGGTCGTGTGACGTAAAAAGGCTCAGATCATTTGATAATTTTAGCAATGATGTCCATCATGTCGGAGGTTCATAGAGTCAGAATTCTGTCAAAAATGGGACATGCTTTATAGAATAAACAGAAACTGTAATTGAAAAGTAACATTATAGTCCGCAGGAGGTAAGTGTTTTTTTATTGATCGAAAACCGGAAGTAGGTAAGAAAGCAGACCGGAAGTAGCTTTCAAAATTTCCGATGTTGGAAATCTAACTTAAAGACAGCTATCAAAAGTCACATTTTGAGTTCATAGGGTCTTAACAGATTAATAAGGATCAAATCCATTTTAAAAATTAAGGATTATGTTAATCATAAAGATTAAAAATAGGGAGGCACAGTTTAATATATCATTATCAGATGAAACATCGAAATATAATGAACGCACCAAAGGATTGAAAATTCAGAGAAAAACAGGTCGCCCAAAATTTATTTGGGAGAGGGACAATGAAATTCAACGAAACGGAAGTAAATCATCCAAGGGAGATCACTTACCTTGAGTGCCAGGTAGAGGACTGGATCGCCACGATGGTCCAGCCAAATAAGTCCGTTAGACGCGTCTGTAATGAACTGAAGGGAAAATGTCTCATTCTGTGTGTACTCCGCCATCTGACGATGTCGTCTAGTGAACATGCTGAAGTTGTAGTGGACATAGGCGCCATCTCCCATAAACCGAATGGTGTTGGTGTTTCTTTGGCGAGATGAGTCCTGTGTTATCAGTCGACTGTTGCCTTGTGACGTTACAGGAGCTGAAGAGAAAATAAGAAAATCGAAAATTGAATATTGATTTTAATGTCCGTCTTCAAAAATATATATTTGTACTCCATTCTGAGTGGCTATATTTATATGAGCCTAACTGTAACTTGTAAAACATGTTTTCCCGTTTCATGTTTTTGTAAAAGTACTCGTCGCTCCATTACGCCAAACTCGGTAATGAAATCGTTGTTTACAATACCAATCAAAAACTCTCTAGTATAAATATATGCATCGTTTCACATTAAACGGGATATCAACGCGATTGACACGGTTCTTTTTTAAATACCTTCCATCTATTTATCATTACTACAAGAATACATTTTAACAACATCCTTAATTTAAGGAATTCCAGTAATTCCACTTATCAACCAATAGAACAAATAACATTAATTTTTTCGGTCGGATTTTCATAAACAATACAGCATGAAAGTCATCCATGAGAGAAAACAGTTTTAACCCTTACTATATATATACAGTGCCTGTGTCAAGGGAAATGTTTCTCATACATGGATGAATAAATACAAAGAAATATATTGCTCCCGAAACATTTAAAACATTATGCCTTAGATATTTTATACGTGTCTTTAATTATAACTAATAAGTAATTATTACATATTCATATATCATATATTACAAACGAACTCATATTGCAATAATATACAATTACTTGTATTCCACCAATGTTCGCGATTGACAGTACTGTCATCTACTCTTTAGTTTCTGGTCCACAACTTATATATCATAATTACGAAAAGGTTTTTTTTTAATTCGACCACTTTATAAATTGAGCAGATTTTTTTAAGGAAAACGCTATAAGCTTGTTTTAAATATCTGATTTTAATCAAATAAAATACTGTTTAAACAAATAGTTGTATGCATGAATTTGTAACCTTACCTTAACGTAAACACAGTGAAAGATAAATAAACATACTCAATTCTGACGTCATATTTGTCTCTTTAGTGATATTATTTAGCAAAATACTTGAAGTATTCTCCAAAATTTTTCAAAAGACCTCTCATCATTTGATACATGCCCTAAAACAGTACCCCCTTGAGGAGCCCCGCATGCCATGATACCAGGCGCGCGTGCCAGGTACGCGCTGGAATGATTCACAGCAGACTGCAAGGTGCGTACAGAGTTGGTAACGAGATAAATATAGATTCTCGCAAATAACAGTAGATTACCGTCTTCTGCTCCATCCCATCTCTTCCTCAGAACACAGGGAAATCAAAATGCACACTAGCAATCCAAAATCCTGGTGGTATGGGAAGAGTGATTTGTTTGTTTGTTTGTGGATTTGAGGAGAACGCGTATATGAAAAATTTGTCTTTCAGATTTATTCAATCTACATTTCTACGTGCGGAGCTATGTGACACATATTCATCTTAAATTTCTGCCTAAAAAAAAATGAAATACTGACATATTATCAAAATCTTAATTCAAACTGAAAATTGATGAAGTGTTGATCACAAATGAACAAAGAAAATATCCAAACGGTGATAAAATACTTTAAGACCGTGCGTTCCGGAAGGAAAAGCAACATCTTTATCGACGGCACGCCGTACACATTCATTTTTTCTTAAAATCAGAACGATGTTAACAACGTAAGTCTATCTGGAATTCGTGTTCCTCAATCAGCACAGTCTTAATCATATGGGGAAAACTACTTTTTCGACGTCTTACGAGAAGATGTCAATCATGTAGTTAAACTGTACACAACGCGAGAAGAAATTTATGATAAACAATCGCACAGTCCTGCGAGAAAAGTAAATAATAGTGTGTATGAGGGCGTTTTACTATCAAATCATCACTGTGTTGTGATACTATCCTACTGTACCGATATAAGACTTAGAGATCTTGAACCACCCTTCCGGCTCTTTTCAGTGCGAGAAAGACTCCAAATTTCTCAAGCACACGTAGTACAATACACTTATAATTGAGACGGCGACCCTTTAATCAGTCACAATACACTTAAAATTTGGAACGAGATCCTTAAACAGTACTTGTCCCCTGGAAATCTATACACAAGTAAAGCTTCTCAATGTAATGTATAATACAGTTTCGTATATTCTGGAGTATTTTTTTGGAGTATTGACACCGAAGATTTTGTCTTTAATTTAGATCGGCTTGTGTTTCGTCCTCTCCCCGATTACATGTATCTCTCTCTACCATCTCGAAGCACAGTTTGTATCGAAATCTATTTTGAAGGAGTTTCCATAAAAAACTTTCTTTTGTTATTGTTTTGCCCTAGTTTTATTGAATCAGAGTTTAAATTTTGCACCTGTTACTCACGAAAGTAATAAATGTATATGGCGATGGTCATTTGGCAGCCAGTGGTCATTTATTTTCGCCACGCGACGCCTTGTTCCTGACCTAACTAAGAATTTTCCTGTGCCTCCCATCCTCCGGGGGACGTGTTTTCTATACAAGGCAAGGCCTATCCCAGAGTTAGCCAGGCAGAAAATGCTATTTATTTTGTCAGCACTGTATCCAGTCATGCTCACATTGAATAGACGTTTGTGAGTGATAAATTATTATCAAGAAATTTATTACTCGAAATAACACTTTTCGCTTCACCAATCGGAGTTGTCCATTGAGTCAAATTTCACAGAGCAGAACAAAAGAAGAAGATAAGATTCATATACATAAATTGTTTCAATATCAACATTCGTTCCTAAAATCATGAAAACGTTTGAACAATTGTTCCAATGTGTTTTTTTTTTTTTTTTTTTTGTTTTAGCTTAAACAACATTTGTTAGAAACGAAATCATCGCTAGAAATTTGAGAACTTTTCAACAAATATCCATCACAATGTTTTAAACTAAGCGAATTAAAACCAATAAAACCAGTTTAGCGAGAATTTCTAGTAAAGATGGGTTTAATGACGACATATTCGTAGGCAAGAAAAGTCCAATTGTCTGGTATCCCAAACATACAGGCCTACAAATACCTCGGGTCAATACCTATCTAGTAGTAAAAGAGATAGCGATCCTTCATATACCCATATATAATACAGAAAATGCAATAGTGTTTTAAATGCTGAAGAAAATAGTACATCAACGTATGAGTGTAATATTCATATAATTATTTCAGTGGAAAAGAACATTTTAACTGTAAAAAACCAACATTAAACTTAATATTCTATCTTTATATTTCCAGATTTACATAAAAACAACATGAAAGGGAAGGAATATAAAACGATTTGGTCATTATCATTTTGTCGTGTTTCGTCTTGGTTTTCTAAGCGTGAAACCAAACAGCCGACAATGTCGCTTGAATCGGTAAATGTTTGAGTTGCTGCATCAGATAATAAAACAGTTTCTCAATCTATAATGTCAAGATCGATAGCCGATTTCCAACCGTTATAATCAATGACGATTTGACTATAAAATTGAACAATTCCAAGCCGGAAATTTAACAATGCGAACCTTGCCAATGAAGACCTTATCAGGAATAGCAATTGCTCCAAACAAGCACTCTCATTTCCACAGTTAGAAAGTTAGACAAAATTACTAACATCCTTGGACAGAATTAAAGAAGCTTGTCTGTTATGTAGATCGCATAGTTATTGTCTAATCAAACTATTATCCGCGTATGGGAAATACGGGGCATTTTTATGCAAATGTTTGTCATTGCTATCTATGAAAATATGTTTAGCCGACGGGATAGCACAAAACACTAGGAACAGTTACTACCCAAGTTCTATACACATTAATCACAACACATGAGTAACAGTTACCTTCCCGTCTACGGTCGAGCTGACGCCAAAGTATCGCCTGTAGGCTAGGAGCGTTTCATCTACATTGATGAGTGATCCACAAAATACCAACCAGATGCTGACAGGTATTGTCACTATATGCTATATATTAAAGTCCATTCCAGTGGAATTCTCTTTAGACAAACCAGAAAATGATGTATCATTTACTGAAATCTTATATATCTACCAATGTATATATTACTAAATTTCAGAAATTTTCAAACGTTTCTATGACCGGACCAGTGCTGCACAGATTCGATGGATTAATGTTTACGTTGAAAGGTAGTTGGGAACTGACACCGATCAAACTACCTTCTGGTTTCTATATCAGATAGAGGGCTACATAACCCATTTTCTATATTGAGAGCCAATTCTATGAACAAATTTTCACGGCTTTTTTTAAATCGCGATTGAAATTCGGCGTGTTTTAGTTAACGTCATCATTGGAGTGTAATGATTCGATAATCTTGTCGCCTAGACTTCGACCCAAAGTGATACAGAGACATATTTACAAACCCTATATACAACTTGTTATTAACAAAGTTAGAAAAAGTGCAATACAGATATGTTACACAATCTTTAATAAAGCTAGGGAAATTACTTGTTTAACGAAACGCCATCACTTCAAAATACATCACATTTCAAATTTGTCTATAAATCCGTGATTATGAAGTCGTCGGGCCGTAAACCAAACCATGCGTTCTGTATCTTATCAGATTGAGACAAAGAAACGAAGCGCATCGCACATGCATGGCGAGGCATTTTATTGCCTTTAATCTTCTGTAAAATGCAGGGAATGGCTAGTATTTCGTGTACGACACTAGATATAGCTTGTATCCACCAGATCATGACTTGAGTGACTCCGATAACAGCAGCTCTTCCTCATGTTTAAATATAAGCAATGACTAACATTCTCTAAAACGAAGACATGCTGTGCACGTAAGTGGAAAATTGCAACCGTATCACTAGGTTTTGTTCGACAAGCGAAGTTCATTGCCACGTGAAGTACACGTGCACGTGAAATATACCACAGTAAATAAAGGAGGATGTTACACATGAAGACATATTGAACGTGTGGTGTAGTGGGCGTTCGACTTCCCCTGTGCTACCCTCAACCTAATTAGCATCGATAAGTGCAGTAAAAATGAAATAGAAAATATAATTAAGACATCAATTAGTATAATAAACACATCCAAATCCAAACACTTGCCTCGTGCAGACGAAGTAGTCAATAT